GAAATATTCTAAGTCCAAGAATGTAAAGGAATATGGCCAATGTAAAGCTTTTTGAAAATGCCTGCTATAAAAGTTCACAAGTTTACATAGTAAAATAATCTAAGTCCAAGAATTTAATGGAATATGGCCAATGTAAAGCTTTTTGAAAATGTATGCTATAAAAGTTCACAACTTTCAATCGCAAAATAATCTAAGTCCAAGAATGTAATGGAATTTTGCCAATGTAAAGCTTTTTGAAAATGCCTGCATAAAAAGTTCACAACTTTGCTTCGTGAAATATTCCAAGTCCAAAAATGTAAAGGAATATCGCCAATGTAAAGGTTTTTGGAAATGCATGCTATAAAAGTTCACAACTTTCAATTGCAAAATATTCTGAGTCCAAGAATGTAAAGGAAAATGGCCAATGTAAAGCTTTTTGAAAATGCATGCCATAAAATTTCACTTCTATAGATCGTAAAATAATCTAAGTCCAAGAATGTAAAGGAATATGGCCAATGTAAAGCTTTTTGAAAATGCATGCTATAAAAGTTCACAACTTTCAATTGCAAAATAATCTAAGTCCAAGAATGTAATGGAATTTCGCCAATGTAAAGCTTTTTGAAAATGCCTGCATTAAAAGTTCACAACTTTGTTTCGTGAAATATTCTAAGTCCAAGAATGTAAAGGAAAATGGCCAATGTAAAGCTTTTTGAAAATGCATGCCATGACATTTCACTTCCATAGATCGTAAAATAATCTAAGTCCAAGAATGTAAAGGAATATGGCCAATGTTAAGCTTTTTAAAAATGCATGTTGCAAAATTTCACCTCGTTAGATCGTAAAATAATCTACCTGTAAGTCCAAAAATGTAATGGAATTTCGCCAATGTAAAGCTTTTTGAAAATGCCTGCAAAAAAAGTTCACACTTTTGCTTCATGAAATATTCTAAGTCCAAGAATGTAAAGGAAAATGGCCAATGTGAAGCTTTTTGAAAAAGCCTGCATTAAAAGTTCACAACTTTGCATCGTGAAATATTTGAAGTCCAAGATTGTAAAGGAATATGGCCAATGTAAAGCTTTTTGAAAATGCCTGCTATAAAAGTTCACAAGTTTACATCATAAAATAATCTAAGTCAAAGAATGTAAAGGAATATGGCCAATGTAAAGCTTTTTGAAAATGCATGCTATAAAAGGTCATAACTTTCAATCGTAAAATAATCTAAGTCCAAGAATGTAATGGAATTTCGCCAATGTAAAGCTTTTTGAAAATGCATGCCATAAAATTTCACTTCTATAGATCGTAAAATAATCTAAGTCCAAGAATGTAAAGGAATATGGCCAATGTAAAGCTTTTTAAAAATGCATGCTGTAAAATTTCACTTTTATAGATCGTAAAATAATCTAAGTCCAAGAATGTAAAGGAATATGGCCAATGAAAAGCTTTTTGAAAATGGGTGCCTCAAAATTTCACAACTTTTAATCGTGAAATAACCAAAGTCCAAGAATGTAAAGAAATATCGCATATGTAAAGCATTTTGAAAATGGATGCCTTAAAAGTTCACAACTAAGCATCATAAAATAGTCTAAGTCCTAAAATGTAATGGAATATGGCCAATGTAAAGCTTTTTGAAAAGACATGCCCAAAAAGTTCACAACTTTAAATCGTAAAATATTCTAAGTCCAAGAATGTATAGGAAATATGGCCAATGTGAAGCTTTTTGAAAATTCATGCTTGAAAATATTACAAATCTACATTGTGAAAAACAGAGTGCAAGAATGTAAAGGAAATTGGCCATTGTAAAGCTTTTTGAAAATGGGTGCATCAAAAATTCACAACTTTTAATAGTAAAATTTAACCGTTTATATTTATCTTTATCAGAATTTCTACTTAATGATATAGCTAGAAAAAAAAACTTTACTTTTAAATGCCATAATTTTTTGTCCCTAAACCTTGACATATATATTTTTGCCGTTCTACTGACGAAATGAAGCAGTGAAATGGACTCTAGAGAAAATAAATAAAATACTAAAGAGTGTAGTAAGCTTAGATCATAGGATTTCAGTTATGAGTATAGGGTGATATACTGTAGGGATTGACCCAACTCAATATGCTGAGGGGATTGGAAAACACATACAAAGCTCAGCCCTGTCAACCCTCATGTAGGCGTGATTGTCACTCATTTGCTGAAAAAATATAGAAAGCACGCATGAATTTAGCATGTATGATCAAATATCACGCAAATCACCCATTTTGTTGATATTTTTAAAAATCTTTTTTTTTATAAAATGCCGATATGGTAAAATACAGAACGGAGAAAAAAAGCAAACCCTTAAGAAAAAAGCCATGGTAACCATGGTATTCCATGGTGCGCCCATGGTAATCCATGGTTTTCCATGGAAATTCATGGTTTTCCATGTTATTTTCCATGGAAATTCATGGACGCCCATGGTAATCTTCCATGGATATTTACCATGATTTTCCGTGGTAATTGTTGGTTTTTAATGGATGTGTCATGGAGATGTAAAATCAACAATTTTGGTAGGATTTGTATTTACCAAAATCTCCAAAATGAATGTTTTGATGATATATCCCAGTTAGACTGAGACTTATCATTGAGAAAAAAGGGTGGACATTTCATTTTGAAGGTATAGCAAGAACATTCATCGAATGTTAGACTCAGCTTACAAATGAGAAAATATGTGAAACAGCAGAGCAGAGAGTAGGCCACAAGATTTCAAAAACAATTGTGCAAAGGTCTTTTGTGTAGATCAAGACCAGATAGAGATTGCTTATTTTTTAGGCCAAACACTTCTTTCCTTTGAAAAAGATTAAGTCAAACTAGCCCAAGCTCTGTTTTATTTCAATACTTTCTTTAATTTTCAGTTTTAAAAATCAATATGAAGTAATTTAAGAAATAAATAACTCATTTTCTTAAATTACATTTCGTACATTTGAGAATACAATCAAAAACCATGGTTTCTTTCTTTGAAGTTGAGAAAACTGCAATCAAAAGCCATGGAAGACGGTTGATTGCAATCGAAAGCCATGCTTTTCCATGATTATTTCTTTGATGTTTTGGAAAGTGCAATCAAAAGCCATGGTTTTCCATGATTATTCTTTTGATCTTTTGAAAGTCCATGGTTTTCCATGGGCTATTTGTTTGGTCTTTTGGAAGCAGAAAAATGAATAATACATTATGTTTCTAAATGAACTTCTCCAAATTAAGTCCCATTCAACTTTTATAAGCATATTATCTGAAAAATCCACAGAAAAGTATATACTTTTACAGAATTTTGACTTGAAATTGAGATGGGGGATTAAACACAAGCCTATGGCTGCAAACTGAAATGTTATACCTAAGTGATAAAAATTCAATTTGTCTATGTAAGAATATTATATTTAAAAGGAAGTTGCATGAAGGAAGGGGAGGGGGTTAACAACACCATTTGGCTTAAAACATGAAACATAGTATAAGTAATTAAAATTGATTTGTCTTTGAATAGGAATAAATAATCATTTGCATAATTTTTAAATATTTGGTTGCCATTATTCTATGTTAATTAGGTGTCTTAACTCTCAAATTAATGTCAAAAGATTAATCTCTTTACAACAGATTATAAGAGTTCATTTGCATAATTCTTAAATATTCTGATCTTAATTGTTATTATACATGATAATCTTACTCTTTCTAATACTCCCTCTTCAGTAATTATTATTGTCTGTGAGTGTAGACAGTGCAAGTCAAAAACTCATTGTTGATCAAATAAAACCAAATAGGATTTACTCCAAGTAAAAATGTTTATTCAGTCTGCAATAAGGGAATCCAGTGAGCTGATTTTATCACTTATTTTGTCTTTTTTTACATAAGTGCCAAAGTTAAATGATAGCAAATCCCAGCAAACAAATTATTACTTTTAATTGTGGGGTCAAATCATCAATTAAAAAAATATTAGTAAACAGTTCTTTGTCATATGACACTATGTACAGAATGTACTAAAAATATATTCAGATTGTAAAAACATGGTTGTATTTCAGGCCTGAAACCAGCTTTTGTCAAGAAGGTCTGACTTTCTCAAAGATTTTGGGGTGGGGGGGGGGGGTGTCATATTCTTTTATCTATGATTAATGAGACTTATTCTCAATCCAGCTTGGATTCATTCGTTAAAATATTGATTCAATTTTGAAGATTTGGGTAAAAACAAAACCTGCCAAAATTGTTGATTTTACAACTCAAGTGTCATGGTAAAAATTACCAAACCACCAATTACCACGGAAAATCATGGTAAATATCCATGGAAGATTACCATGGGTATCCATGAATTTCCATGGAAAATACCATGAAAAACCATGAATTTCCATGGAAAACCATGGATTACCATGGACGCACCATGGAATACCATGGTTACCATGGCTTTTTTCTTAAGGGAACGCATTCCTTTTGGTCTTTGCAAGCGATTTCCATTTATGTCACAAAATATGTATATATCACGCATTGCACCTATCCCATGGCCAGACTAAATGTCTGTTTAGTTTCCAAATGTCAAAATATAGGACCAATGCCACAGTAGATATCAAAATATATTCAGAAGTTGAAGAATGCCCCAGAAGAAGGCACATCTCTGCGGAAATGATCCCAAACAAATCCAAATTTGGGACATGTGTTGATGTGTAACTACTGGACCAATGCCATACCACAAGTGTGAGGTAGCGTATCTTCCATGACCATTCTCATACCAGAAATTGGAAAAATCCGTATATTGCCATACCTTAAAAGTCATAAATTTTGGGGCATTCTCATAACAGAACCTTAAATCTTGGTCCATTGTCATACCAAATGTAAAAAAAGATACCCCATATATGCTGGGGATCCTTGTCAAGGTTTCTTACTGCCCTTCGAAGGGTTCTTTTTAAACAGGATCACAGTACAGTAAGTATTTGATTGTTGTACTGTACCTATAATAAATCAGATGTAACATTTAGTAAACTAGCAAAAGTCCATAATGACTCTTTTTGTTTTGCAGGTAGGATGTATGCGGTGCAGAGAGGTATTAAGACAGACAGCAAAAGTCCAGATTGTAAACAGTTCTTATTTGGACTTATGGATGAACTGGAAAAGGTAATCTAACTTTAATTAAAGGCTATATGAGAAAGACAGGATACAAATGTGAAAGTTTTGATATGTATCTTTGATATGAGGATATAGTGACATTTGACTCTTTGATATAGGATACATAAGGGTTATGTACTGGGAACTTTGGATATGGGGTTTATCCAGAGGGAGATATGCATATCTACCTGAGGGACCGTAGGGGCCGAAGGTAGATGTGCATATCGAAGCGGGAAGATATGCCCTGGAGCGGGAGATATGGGGGGAGATATGGAGTTTCAGGATATGGAAACCTCAAAATCTGGATACGGGATATATCTTACCAACTTATCTCCCTAAAACTCTACTTGCCATAGGATAAAAATGTTTATCCTACACTTAGTGTACTAAATGTATAACATTAAAAAATAAATTTGATATTTATTGGCAAAATGAATAACCAGAGGTTATCGGAACGATATACTCCTGGCGGAGGATATCGTGACGATACTCCGGAAAACCCAATATGCAGAGGATATTGTGACGATATACTCCGCTTGTTGATTTCCCGCCAAATTGACTCTATTTGGCAAGAAATTCATTTTGCAATGATATTATACATTTAGTACACTTCTTGTAAGTGTAGGATAATAAGAACATCCTATGATTTTTTTCAGAATATCATTTGAATCTACTCGGTGATATTGATATATGCACTCGTTCGCTTTGCTCTCTCGTGCAGATATCAATATCACCTCGTAGATAAAAATGATATTCCTCAAAATCATAGGATATCCTATGAAAATTGATATTTCCCTCTTTGTTATATGGGAATATATTGATATTTGACTCTTTGTTATGGAAATATATTTATATTTGACTCTTTGTTATGGAAATATATTGATATTTGACTCTTTGTTATGGAAATATATTGATATTTGACTCTTAAGCATGAGAATATCTATATGTTATTTACTGGGAGGGAGGGAGTGCGAGTGTCAATATCATATTGCCCAAGGTCAATATCATATGTTCCGAGGAATAAAACCCATATTCAATCCTGACCAGAAATAATCTGTTTATTTCATAATACATCCCTCTAAAATCTTGCATTTGGATAATGCATTTACATTATGTTAATACTGTAAATACACAGGGGGGGTGACTTTTGACCCATTGGTACGAGAATATATTGATATTTGACTCCTTGATATATTAATGTAGTGACATTTGACTCTTTTGTATGGGAACATAGTGATATTTGACTCGTTGATATGGGGACATATTGATATTTTGACATTTTGGTTTGGGATATATTGATATTTGACTCTTTATAGTGACATTGACTCTTTGGTATGAAACAGATTGATAGTAATATTTATATGTGATCATCTAGCCTGGGATCATCGACCCATCTATGTGCATAAAAACTCCAGCCTTGTAACCAATACAGCTTGTTGAAGATCGAGTCTACTCCAAAGCACATGATACTACCAACAAAATTCTGCACCTCTATAAAATTCGAGACATTTTTACCCATTGCTTATTTCAGATGAAGGTTACACTAAAGGACAATGATGCTATTACCAGTGAAGTGGTGGCCCAAGCACATATAGAAAATGTTGCTCACAAATTGTTCCTATGGGCAGACAATGAAGACAGAGCTGCTAGGTTTAATAAGTATGTAATCTACTTTTGAATGCATACAATATGGAAGTTAGGCTACACATTTGAAGTGGACTTGTACTTGTACATCTAGATATGATCCTCTTAGGTAGTAGTAGTAAGTAGTAGTATACCTGATTGAGTATGAAGGGTTTAGGAAAGATGGGTCATAATATGTTCATGTACAAAATCTCTCAAAGACATATGGCTTAATCTCCCTAGAATTTTCTCTGAAATAAGAAGTGAATAAAAAATACTATTGATTCTTAAGTACTATATTCTACTCAAGCACAACAGAGAAGAGTTGCATACAATAGATATACTGTAGTACATGTGACTTTCAAGGATCAAAAGAGAAAATAAACATTAGACATGTTAATCACATTAGATCTACTTTTGCAATAGAACTAAACATGTTGTAGATCTACATTTCTTTATCAACCCATACCTATGCATTTGAATATCTTATAACTAATTTGTTCTTGTTGCAATATTGTTAATTTAAAACACAGTATTTTAGCTCTCAATGTAGGATTGGATAACAGCTATCGCAAATAATATCCCTAAATTTGAATGTTTCAGAAATGTAGTGAAGTCATTTTACTCTTCCTCGATACTTATGGATGTCGTCCAACAGTTTGGAGAACTATCAGAAGAGGTAAATATCATATTAACATAACTATTAACAATTTATGTATTGTATAAAGTGTACTTTTCTCACATTTCAGTTACGTATATTATCGATTTACATTTATTAACATTCAACATAAGACTTGCATCAAACTCTGGACTTCTAATCTACTCAGCCGTTTGTTAAGACTGTGTGACACAAAGGCTTGATGCTCATTCATAGAGTTAAATATGTGTCCTTGTTGCATCATTTATAGAGGTGTCTTTGTTGTTTGATTTACATAGATATCATTGTTATAAGATTCAGGTAAGTTCCTTGTTGCGAGATCTACATAATATATAATGTATATAGGTGTTCTTATTGCAAGATCTACATAAGTTTCCTTGTTGAAAGATCTACATAGGTGTCCTTTAGAGGTGTCAAGTATTAACCGGTTAACCGGTTAACCGCCGATAATGCCTTGACCGGTCTGAATTTTTATGGGCGGTTAGTTGACCGTGTATAATTCTGTTATTTCCCGCGCTTATTTTGCATGCTAATCCGATTGGTTTTATGGTGTCAGTTTCACGTAAGCTACTCATACATGTCATAAGTCCCATAACTCCTTACAAACATCCAATCAGCAACTTTAATCCCTGCCACATTGCTTTCCCGCGCTTACTTTGCATTTTAATCTGTTTGTTTTTCAAGCGTCAGTTTCATGTGAGCTACTCATACATGTGATAGGTCCGATAATTCCTTACAAACATCCAATCAGCAACTTTAATCCCTGCCACATTCCTTTCCCGCGCTTACTTACATAGAATAACGTAAAGCTTGACGAACGTAAAAAATAAACGCCGATATATCATTTTCAAATTTTTTTCAACTTTCAAGATCGGAGATGAAGATTTCACTTGAAATTATCAGTTCAAATTTCCCGCCGGTTAACCGACTTTAACCGGTAAAAACCCCCGGTTAACCGGTTAATGCTCAAGCGGTTAATTGACACCACTAGTGTCCTTATTGCAATATTTACATAGATGTCATTGTTACAAGATCTATATATGTGTCCTTGTTGAAATATCTACATAGGTGTCCATATTACAATATTTACATAGATGTCATTGTTATAAGATCTATATATGTGTCCTTGTTGAAAGATCTACATAGGTGTCCCTGTTGCAAGATCCACATAGGTGTTATTGTTGCAAGATCCACATAGGTGTCCTTGTTGCAAGATCTGCATAGGTGTCCTTGTCACATGATCTACATAGGTGTCCTTGTTGCAAGATCTACATAGGTGTCCTTGTTGCAAGATCTACATAGGTGTCCTTGTCACAAGATCTACATAGTTGTCCTTGTTGCAAGATCTACATAGGTGTCCTTGTCACAAGATCTACATAGGTGTCCATGTTGCAAGATCTACATGGGTGTCCTTGTTGCAAGATCTACATAGGTGTCCATGTTGCAAGATCTACATAGGTGTCCTTGTTGCAAGATCTACATAGGTGTCCTTGTTGCAAGATCTACATAGGTGTCCATGTTGCAAGATCTACATTGGGTGTCCTTGTTGCAAGATCTACATAGGTGTCCTTGTTGCAAGATCTACATAGGTGTCCTCGTTGCAAGATCTACATAGGTGTCCTCGTTGCAAGATCTACATAGGTGTCCTTGTTGCAAGATCTACATAGGTGTCCTTGTTGCAAGATCTACATAGGTGTCCTTGTTGCAAGATCTACATAGGTGTCCATGTTGCTAGATCTACATAGGTGTCCTTGTTGCAAGATCTACATAAGTGTCCATGTTGCTAGATCTACATAGGTGTCCTCGTTGCAAGATCTACATTGGGTGTCCTTGTTGCAAGATCTACATAGGTGTCCTTGTTGCAAGATCTACATGGGTGTCCTTGTTGCAAGATCTACATAGGTGTCCTTGTTGCAAGATCTACATAGGTGTCCTTGTTGCAAGATCTACATAGGTGTCCTTGTTGCAACATCTACATAGGTGTCCTCGTTGCAAGATCTACATTAGGTGTCCTTGTTGCAAAATCTGCATAGTTGTCTTTGTTGAAAGATCTACATAGGTGTCCTTATTGCAATATTTACATAGATGCCATTGTTGCAAGATCTGCATAGTTGTCCTTGTTGAAAGATCTACATAGGTGTCCTTGTTGCAAGATCTACTTAAGTGTCCTTGTTGCAAGATCTGCATAGGTGTCCTTGTTGCAAGCTCTACATGGGTGTCCCTGTTGCAACATCTACATAGGTGTCCTCGTTGCAAGATCTACATAGGTGTCCATGTTGCAAGATCTACATGAGTGTCCATGTTGCAATATATGCATAGGCGTCCTTGTTGCAAGATCTACATAGGTGTTCTTGTTGCAACATCTACATAGGTGTCCTCGTTGCAAGATCTACATTAGGTGTCCTTGTTGCAAAATCTGCATAGTTGTCTTTGTTGAAAGATCTACATAGGTGTCCTTATTGCAATATTTACATAGATGTCATTGTTACAAGATCTATATATGTGTCCTTGTTGAAAGATCTACATAGGTGTCCTTTTTGCAAGATCTACATAAGTGTCCTCATTGGGAGATCTATATAGGTGTCCTTGTTGCAAGATCTACATAGGTGTCCTTGTTGCAAGATTTACATAGGTGTCCTAGTTGCAAGATCTACATATGTGTCCTTGTTACAACACAGTGAGAGGTTGTATGTAAGAACAATAGTGAATCATTATCTATGCGCAATATATTTATAACTTAATGTGTTTATGTATTGTAGGTTGAGAAGAATAAGAAGTATGCCAAATGGAAAGCTGCATACATACACAAGTGTTTGCAGTCAGGGGAGACACCTATACCTGGTCCCCTAAACGAAGAAGGGGAAGAGGAGGAGGGTGGAGGTCAGTTTTAGTGCTAGAACCACTTGTCTAGCAATTGATAGTCGAAAGATTTCTCTATGAGTGATATAATCGTTTTAGAGTAGATTGCAAATATTGTATTGTTTTTTGTAAATCCTGCCTCGGAATTAATACGAAATGGCCAACTTGTTGAATCAATTGCCAGATTTTAGTAATATGTTTATCCTGCCTTATAAGTATTATTCAAGCACTGTTTGTATTCCAGCTGTTGGAGGTGAAGCAAGTCAGCCAGGACCTTCAGGCTATCAACCACCAGCTGATCAAGTACAACCACCAGTGAATCAGAATCAACCTCCTGCAAATCAGTACCAACCTCCTGCGAATCAGTACCAACCTCCTGCGAATCAGTACCAACCCCCACCAACATCACAGTACCCTCCACCTACAAATTTACCTACACCAAATAATAATGGTCAGTATCCTGGTGGGTCTCATGCACCCCCCACTACACCCTCTGACCCCCCTAGGGCAGCAGGAGGCTATGTGGCACCACCCGCACAACCTCAACAGGCAGCTTCCTGGACACCACCCCCAAATGCTGGTAAGTGTAGGAAATTATATAAATCAATGAAAAACATTAGCTCTATTCACACATTGAAGGGTCATATTTGAAAAGTACAGAAAATTAGATTTCTTGAAATTCTATCTCAAATGGTATTTCTTATAATAGACATTCATTTTTTGATTTTCTAAATTGAAAATGAGTTTTTATCAAGGATAGTCACAACAGGATTTTTTTTAACTAATCCCACTGAATAAAGATTAGTCACAGTGTACATGTATACGGATAATATAAATAAGCTGTCCATTCATCCATCAGTTCATCCTTCTGTCTCAGGACAATCTCAAAAACTGGAAGCTGGATTTGTTTCTAACTTTGGTTCCTTATTGTCTCTTGAGAATTATATCAATGGTGGAATGGATATATCACTTGGCTTAAAGTCTCAGTCACATTTGCCCTATGGCGGGCATATAGCAGCCATCGCTTTAAAAAATTGATATGGAAAATCGACATTGCATTGCTTATCCCTATATTTTATGCTGCATATTTCTCTCGATTTCGGGAAGCTTGGCCATCATATGGTTTCCGTAGATCAAATGAGACTGAGCCATAACTTTGTTATACAATCATTTTTGCTCATATAGGTAATGTCCAGTTGAAGGCAGATGACTACCAGAAAGCAATGAAGTATTGTAAATATGCCAGCAGTGCTCTGCAGTATGAGGATACAAAGACAGCAGTGGACAATTTAACTAAAGCTTTAACATTGATCACAACTGGCCAGGATCCAGGAAAATAATTTCATTTTGAAACAGTCTAATACAGATCCCCTAGAGTAGAAGCCCCTCGATGGGTTAAAACATACGAGATTCCATTGTGGAGTAATCACTTGGTTAAAACATACGAGATTCCATTGTGGATTAATCACTTGGTTAAAACATACACGATTCCATTGTGGATTAATCACTTGGTTAAAACATACAAGATTCCATTGTGGATTAATCACTTGGTTGAAACATACAAGATTCCATTGTGGATTAATCACTTGGTTGAAACATACAAGATTCCATTGTGGATTAATCACTTGGTTACATACAGATGCTGTGTCTTTAGAATCACTATTTTAGGTTTGAAAGTGCTTAACCCGAATTTTATTTATTATTTACCTTGTAATCATGTCTGTGTGTCGACAATACTAAGCACTGGCAAATTACATGTACTGTTAATCTGATGGTAGATTTCACTGAACTGTAGCGATGATGGTCATTATGCCTACACAAGCCATAGGCCCAGGAACATGTATAGTTAATCAAAGTTTGTCTAATTGAAGTCTCGGAGTCCCAAGTAGAAAATCTTAAGGGACTCCAACTCCATTTTTATGTCACCAACCCAAGTGGTGGCATATTGTTTTAGTCAACTTTTTTTGTGAATGGTGTTTGGCGTTTGGCATCTGCCGGTCAGCATTTGGCTTTAGGAGTCTGTATTGAATGGCAGATGATGACATTTTGAATGCTTATGCCTTGTTTATATATGACCCGAGCCCCCTCCCTACTAGAATATAGTAACATGGTCTACCTATGCCAAAAGGTAAACTCTCTTACAAAAACTATGTTGCAAACTTGCAATCGGCCTAATCTACAAGTATATTACATTTTAAAATGCCATGGATAATGCAATCTTCATCAGAATCCTCAATATGCTAAAAGTTTTCTCATCAATATTTTTATGGTATGTCTCCAACATAAATTGGTGACATATTGTTATAACCACCAATTCTATGGCTGATGTTTGTGGTTTAGTATTTAGCTTCTGTTACAAATCGTTACACTTTGTACCCATTTGAATGAACTAATCAGGTGGTTACATTTGTAACATTTCAATTCTGTTCAAAATAGGTCACTGTAGGTGTAGCTTATTGTACATATTATATAAAGTGTTTTGCTATATATGTACATAATGTAATTGTATATACTTAAACTGTAGGATATAATATATATCAGTATATGTTACAAATTCTGCTAAATATAATACAACAAGAAACAATAATAAATAGTTGTTCTAATTAAAATAATTATTATTATTTGATTAAATCATTACTATACCATCATTAAATTAATTTTGGGGGATTTTCTTTACTCCACTCACCAAATATGTGATTTTCTGGTATTTAGGAAAATTTGGAAATAATTTGGAATTGAATATGTAGTCCTATTATTTCTCAGGTGGTCCTGTTAGTATGTTGATGGTTATATAGTGGAATTGATCTAATATAGATTATATTGTGCTTTAATTAGAATCAACTGTCTTTAATCAATCTGGTTTCCTATGATTGTTGTTGAAAGTGAATTGAATTTGATCCTTTTTAGAACCTTCTCAGCAGGCTTCCTCTGTCCTTTTTAGCAGTTGTGGCTGTAAATATACAATAAGATCTACAATTAGGGATATTTGATTCAGTGCTGTAGTTGAGAAGCATATATATAAGTGGTTTGGCTTTTCAGTTTCATAAGGTAGCCTATGTTGAGGAAGATTCCATCTTTTGTATTATTACTTTAATTATCCCAACAAACGAAGTTCTGTAGAAAACCTAAGACGATCATCAACAGGCTTTTTAAGATAAAAATTGCTTCCATTCGTCTTACAATTTCTGTCCATTTCACTTCATTTGATTGTAATTCAATGTCTATGGATCGATGTAATGTATGACTTGGGTTAACTACTTACTCGAACAACAACAGTTGCATTCATCCCGGACTTTTCTTTTTAGCAACCTTTTTTCTTGATAACTGTATTCGCTAAGTTCATTTCTGATACAGTTTCTCATGCAACTCCTTTTTCCTATCTCCTTATCGCACATATCACTACTCACGGACTCACACGCTAAAATTAAAGCATTGCATCTAAACTGAGAGAAGAAATAAAAATGATGTACAAATAAAAATAGTACCACACGCGAGTTTTTGATGTACTGTAGAATAAAGCCATTACATTTGCTCCACGGCAACCGTGCTTTGACCGTAGTTTCTTGAAATCGGTAAACTAAGGCTAGCCTCTATACGGCATATCCAGTTTTTTAAAGGCCGTAAGCTCGCCGTAGAAATTATAACTTTGAGTTAAGCCCCAGTCACATTTGCTACGGTGACCGTACGGTCTATCATTTCTGCGATCAGTAACATGTCTATGCTCGCCTTAGAATTTTTGCAGTCGGATACTTTTGCCACAGTCACATTTCCTACGACAGTCGCATCGTTAATTTTGAATTTCTGTTGATATAAAAACCGAGGTTGCCTTTCGCCCTTTTAAATAGTTTTACAGTGCTAGGATTTAATATCAAATAAAAAGTGTTGAGTGAAACATTGACCAACCCGAGCCTTTTAGGGACAGCGCTCGCCGCAGAAATTCATTGATCTGCGGTTGACGTACGGCCGCCGTACGACAAATGTACATGTTGTCTTGGGTTCTACCTTTTCATTTCTGCTGTCATCGTAGAAATTAACAGGACCTAGCCAAACCGCAGAAAAGTTCCACGGTGGCTGCACGTCGGGCGCACGGCCGACTTGCGTCTGCCGTCGGGTTTTAGGGGTAAAAATTGACCTTTGTGAACCATAAGATCGCCGTAAGTCCCCCGTGAGACTGTTTTGCGTCTACCTTACTTTTTGTCAAGAAAAACTACACCCGCAGTAGGGCCGCCCTACGCTAAATGTCATATCATTTATCAACAGTACGGCGGCCCTAGTTTTTATGTCTCTTCAAAATTAAAATGCGCCATACGGCTGCCGTAGCAAATGTGACTGCTAAAGTATCTGATCTGACCGCAGAAATTTTGAGGCGACCATAGAAATGTTACTGACCGCAGAAGTGATAGACCGTATGCGTTCGGTTGTTGTAGCAAATGTGACTGAGGCTTAAATTGTAAAATCTTGTGAGTAAAATCAGGGGGCAGAAACATTATATTTGTATAAAGTATATACAGGGTGGGCCAAAAAATGGAACATTTTTTCCATCCATTGTAACTTTCTTGTTAGTCATGAACATGTCGTCCACCCGCCTGAATAATCAGTCTAAGTTGTATTTGACAGTCATACATGGCTTAAATGATCAGTTTTGAGACATATTATGCCAGTTTTTGGAAGAATACTGAAGTCCGTTAAACTTTATTATTCAAGGGGGATATATCTAGCCTCACCTAGAGATAATTAAACATGTTTTAATTGATGGAAATTGTGTTGAGACCATTTTAAAGGTAAATATTGTATGGTATGAAAAATAGTTGTATTTTCGGGACGTCTCAAGCAGAGAGAGAAATTGAAAATCTTTCATGACACCCACAGTATACAGATCATGACCATGACAAGCCAAAAAGAATTGTACACACATATTTTTATCTTTAAGATTTTCACAAATAATCATATCCATTATTTGAATTTTTGTGGATTGAAACGCAATAATAAAGAAAATTGTATAAATAGAAAAATGTCCCAATTGGGCCACCCTGTAGGTGTAGTTTTATTTGGTATGGGAATGTGGACACTTTGTAAATTTTTCTAACCTGGCATTATGCAAAATTGGATGAAGGGGGGGGGGGGAATGGAGGGGGAGTACTATGTCTTTGAGATGGAACCAATGTACACGAATTCATGAATTTGAGAAATTAGCTCAGAAAAAAACTGGATGTTACATACCTGAAGAGTGAAAAATGCGGAAATTTGAAGTTATATGAAATAAAGTCAGGTAACCCCACTTATCATGTCTTATAGACACATTACCCCCCCCCCTCCATTCACTCCCCCTCTCCATCCAATATCAATATATTTCGATTATTTTTATTACGTATGGGAATTTATTTAAAAAAACAGCAATGACCTTTGTCTTTTTATCTACTTACGTCCCTTATAAGTACTAATCACAGGTCATATGTAGACCATTGTTGCCTGATTTATAGCAAAAACATTGACTTTTGCACGTTGGTGACGATGCGCCTTTTTTAAAAAAAATCCTAGAAGAACTAACATATTTTACCGTATCTCTAGTCCAATTTTTTGTCCACATACCTTTCTTCCTTAACTCCTCTTCGCAGTTTCTAACACATTCCCTTTCTTTGACTCGTTTTGTCCGACTATTGGCTATAACCATCACATCCTGCTTGCATTTGTTACGACATACACGTACGTCGGAAGAGAGTGCTCCATCGGACAGATAGAGCACAGCCAACGTAACCATCATAGCAACAGAGAGACGCATCTTCGCTTACGTTCTCAGCAATCCGACAAAACATAAAAGAAGATAGAAAATGTGTAAAACTTTTTATTGTTCTTTGAAGCGAGTATTTTAACTAAGAAGGGGAAATACCCGTTATTATAGATGAACCTATCTCCATATAAATATGAACCATCTTTACGCAAGGATTGGCTCATCTATGAATTCTGGGTACTAGTATTTCCTCCTCTTAGTACAAATGATGTCCAGTCTTGTAAATGATTTGATTAGAGATGCCGAATTCAATTTTTGTTCATAATATTAAAATCTCGCCATTCGTTTTTTACTTTTTAGAAACCCCGAGGGGCTGGAATTTTTAGGCAAAGTGGTAACGTTTGGCAATATTATATCCAATTCGCCTAAATTAGGTTTTGAAATATATGTAACAGATTTAGTTTGACCAAGATAACCAAATTGAATTACAGATCTATTATAAATATACATATATTTGCAAACATGAAAAACAACAACAATTTTCAAAAATAACTGAGTGGAAAATGTCTATTTGGGCAGATTTTAAGTCATCAGAAATCATTTGTACATCCTCCGTAAGCAGGGCTTCAAAATCGAGAATATATTCTTAATGGAGGCACGGATTCTGAACACTGCTTAGGAGGATGTCATTTGGATGACAACAAATATTTTCAAACCTACACTGTTACCTTAGCAATTATTACAAACAAAAATCAGAAATGGGTCACGAAAATGATATAAAATGTATGGACAAAAAGTGATTAGTCTAAAACAAATTATCAACTTACTCTTTCGCTCTTTCGGTTTGTAGTTGATTCTTTCACTATCTCTCACTATTTCACTAGTGATCTTCGCAGCTCTATGGAGCTTTATCGATAAATGACTTAATATATACAATTGTCTTGAATCATACAACATTGCATCCCCTTTTGGGCGCACCAGCTGTGATCTTAAATGCTTCCTATCACATACTTTTTTATATCGATGTATAGAAATTTACTAATTGAATTTCCATACAAATATTTAACTTACATTTGAGAATTCTTGAACTAATGAACGTGATTTAAATAACAAAAACCTCTTTATTATTTTGTGCAAATAAAGTCTTTAAGTGATTTGTCAGACGAATGGATAATGTATATTTGTTAATTCGTTCAGAATGTCTATGTCAAATTACCCCCAACCTAATTCATTAAAATATTTAATTAAAGATCAGATCGTCATGGCGTCTCAACATGTTTTTACTCTTCCCTTTAAAAACTTGAAACCGAAGATTTCCAAATGTTATTGAAATTTATAATTTTTTCATTTATTTTAGAAACAAAATTAAGAATTGAACAGAACAGGCTCCATCCCACCGAAAAACTTTTGAATGCCACGTGGAGGTGGAGGATGTATCTCGAAACGTTTCAAGGCACTGTTATTATTAAACGATTATTGTATAACAGTACTGGGTAAAAATACCGACTGCGTGTCTTGCCCAAATCAAATCTTTTTCTAGGGATAGCGTCCAGTGGATGCGTAGTTAATCTACTGTATTTACAAATGGTCCATCTGCTACTTTCCAATCGTGATTTTTAACAATATAGATGTTTAAACTAAATTATAAACGAACATGTTCGATTCTAAGTGTCTCATGTTAAATATCAGATCGTATAATACTGTTTACTATTATTTCAGTATTTGCACTTTACTGGTAAGGGTCTTTCGTAACTCTTTGATTATGACATATCTGTATTTCACACATAGCTAGGTAAGGTGTGTCCTATTCCAGCCAATCTGAACACAGTATTTCATATAACTGCAGTGTATCATTTCACCAATTACCGCATTCAAGGTCACTCTTAAAATAGATGTCAAGGTGACAACTTGACTCTCCGGATTGAAATTAATACTTTGCCATCTTGACCCTTGCAAACAATTCACAGTTTGTACTTGTGATTTCGTAGAAAATATTTTAATTTAAAAGAATTTAAGCTTAAGACTCAATGCATTGTGGATGCTTCATTTCATTCAGGCTTTTTCGTAAACTATGCATTCCCGCTGCTCGGTCATCCAAAGATTTGGAAACAACACCTATATGGAATGATTCAGCACACAATGCGCTGAGTCCAGGGCTTAAGTCCTTAAACTATTGTATCTGCCAGTTCACGTCTCTCATAAGCTGAACTGGGCGGAACAGTGTTTTAAAAATCATGCTATTTTAAAATGTACATTTTTATCACAAATCTGTCGACGAAAAGTAAATAAAAGAAAAAAGAACCAGTTGCTAAGTTTCAGTTGTCACTGTCAGAGTTATACCCAAGCCTGAGGGAGGAGAGGTAATTCATTGTCTTGCTATACTTACAGGGTGGGCCAAAAAAAACCACCCCCCTAGCCAATATTTCTGATAAATATTCAATTTTTAACATGCACACCTATAATGATATATCATTTTAAAGATAATTTAATTTGCAACAAAATGATATATAATATAACAATTTTAAACAACTGTGGCTCGAGATATAACCATTTATGTGACATGGGGGTCAAAAAACACCTTTTCAATTTTCGTCGATTTTGCGAACAATTGCCTATTTCTACCAAATTTAAGTAAATTACAACATTGTCATGAGTCTTTCATAATTGGATATTATATATTGTTTTCATTCAGTTTTTGAACCACACATGCTCAATATACATGTGTATGCTTATAAAACTAATTCATTTTAGTATTTCTTCTTCAATCTGTCCAAATATGGCTCAATAGACTCACACCCGGACCCAACTTCTGATTTGATTTCTCGCTTAAAATGTGAAAGCCATTGGTATAATTGATGGACTTCTGCAGAAGTACCATCCAACACCTAATTATTCATTATTTCAGTATGGCTACACCCCTGATGGGCTAGGGATCTCCATAGACCAACTATTCTAAATGCCCCAAGTACTATACATGTAATCAAAAGGCTATACTCTATATAAGTAAGCAAGAATAGTGACATTTGCGATAAAAGGCAACTCAAATCGAGATGACATTTTTCTGAAAGGTAGGTGGTGTCCACTCAGCGTTTCCCAAAAAGGATAGACCATACAGGCCCTGTTTTTTGAACTGGGAGCAAAAATATACTCTGAATGTTAATGCAGGAAGTGGTAAAAAAGGACTCCTCAAGAATATAAAAAACATGTGAAAGAAATTTCATTTTCTGATAGAACAGTGCTCCATCGCAGAGGTCCAATGCTACCCTGGAGTTTTTGGAGATTCGAAATGTCACCATCTCTAGCCCAGAAAAATGGCTTACTGGTAGTCCAGTTGCCAATAATGTTTATTACCATACCTGGGAGCATCTAGAACAGTTGGTATTTAAATATACCCAGCCTATCAGGGGTGTAGAGGAACTAAAATAAAGAATAACTAGCAGTTGAATGGTACTTCCGCATACATCCATCAACAATTATGCCATCAACCAATGGCTTCCGCGTCTTAAGCGAATAATCCAATCAGAGGATGGGTCCGGGGGGGGGGGTCTATTGAGCTATTTTTGGACAGACTAAAGAAGAAATGAATTAGTTTTATAAGCATACACATGTATATTGAGCATGTGTGATTCAAAAGCTGAATGAAAACAATATATAATATCCAATTATGAAAGACTCATGACAATGTTGTAATTTACTAAAATTTTGTAGAAATAGGCAATTGTTCGCAAAATCGACGAAAATTGAAAAGGTGTTTTTTGACCCCCATGTCACATAAATGGTTATATTTCTATATGGGGTTGTTGAAAATGGTGCTATTATATATCATTTTGTTGCAAATTAAATTATCTTTAATATGATATATCATTGTTGGTGTGATTGTTAAAAAATAAATATTTATCAGGAATATTGGTTAGGGGGGTGGTTTTTTTTGGCCCACCCTGTAGAATATCACAGAATGATTCATTGTTAATAATTTTTGTCTCACATACATGTAGTTCATAGGATCGTCAAGATGTCTCTCTGTTGGTCGGTCCAGGCAATACTAATTTTGCTGGATGCATTACAAAATTAAGTGTTTGACAATAGTTGTCCACAACCAGTGTTAAAGGATGTGGTATGAGTGCCAAAACAACACAACCATGGGTCATGTCTGCCTTCCATCAATGTAAATACGTAGATTAAATTACAACCGTAAAATATATACTTAGGGGTAGTGGTCATCTCTATTGAAGATCAACAAAATACAATACAAAAATACAACATGGAGATATAAAATATTTATTCTTGCAAACCGCAAATGAAGTACATAACGTATCATAATCAATCATTGGTTTGAAGAGGCTCAGCTGTCTACAAGCGTGATGTTGACTATTGCCGCCCCCGAGAGCTCGAGCTCGTTGACAACTACATTTTGCTTAAAGGGTTTGTAGCCAGATGCCTTCACCTGGAAGAAATAACAAGATATTTACATGACAAAATGTCACCACCTTTAGAAGGTCATTGAAGGTCAATCAAAGGTCAAATCTAAAAACTTGTAGATGATTTTGAAAAAATTGGTCAATTTGAAGTAAGTTTAATGACTTTTTTTGACCTTGAGAAGTTAAGGAATGTAAAATCTCAAATCTAAAGTCAGATTTGAACTTCTGAAAACTTTTGAAATTTTGATTTTGAAAAAAGTCAGTCTATACAGTACTTGTAGTTATTGGAAGTTGTAATAATTTGTTAAACACGCCAACCGCCGAACTCCGAACACCAACCACCGTCCACAAAACGGTTGGAGATTATAACAATATGTCACCACTTTGGTTAGTGGTGACATAAATATGGAACGTCACAGACTAACGAAATATTGAGTCGAATTCATCCTTTTTGGATTAACCGTCCTAAAATCTTGTCTACGCGTTTCAAACCAAACAGTTCTATTGAATGCCCATGGATAGATTGATTTGAAATTATAAGGGTTGCCTCTTGATATGAAGGTTCAGAACTGCTAAGTTTTTGATTATTCGAATTCTGTGTAAATGTTAAGGCGGCCATTTTGGACTTTTGGATTGCCGCCAAATAAAACTGTATATTCTATTCAAGGGTGCGTTGTTGTTAACCCATTATCTTGTTTTAATTGTGCTGATGTGTGAGGCCATCTAATGTAACAATAATACACTGGTCTGGTCTCTCACATACCCTGATATTATATGTTCCTGGAAGCAGAATCCTCCAATATTCTCCCTGAGTTGTACTTCTAAATGGATGTTTTCTGCTGTCTATATAAACACGAGCATTTGGAACTGGATTACCCCGAGAGTCTGATATAATACCCTTGATTCCTAAAATATAAAAGAATGTTCTTACAAATTAATGTAAACCTATCACTTGGTATGATTCACTATTACAAACATATTGTTAACCTTATCGCATTGCCAGAAATAATGACGATATCATCTCATTTGAATTTATCATTATCATAAATGCCTTGGTCACATTTGCTCCGATTTTCACTACGGCGCCCGGCCGATTGAGTATTTTGTTCAAAATTGAATACAATATTGAACAAAACACTCAATCGGTCGGGCGCGGGCCGATGGATCTGAGCATATGTGACCAAGGCAGTACATGAACAATCTTTGGAGCATGCATGTCATTGCTCTACCTTTGATCATATAGTGAAACATGTATATCTGAGCACCTCTCTAATCCGAACACCTCTTAATGTGAACAATTTTCTCGATCTCAAATTTTTATCAGTCCCATTGACTCAAATATTCAAATTAAAGACAATGTGAACAGCTTCCAGAATCCGTACTTTTAGTCGGTCACAATGGCTTTCAGGTTAGTAAGATTTTTCTGTATATACGTATATCTTTGCAATAAGAAGAACACACCCCCAGAACAGTATTTGGAGACATGCATCTTATTTTAAAAAGTATAAATTTTTATGCCTACTCAAGGTAACCTTTATCAATATTGCAAATATTATGCTTTTTATGAAATTAGAAAGCACATTACGGTTCAACATTCCCCCGATCCGAAGAGCATGAAATATATTTCAAAGGCAATTTTCTGATTTGATTTTTACATGGTAGGATTGCTTCAAACATTTTACACTCTCGATACCATCTAACAAAAACAAAATGTTACTTATGATCTAGCCTTGCCCAAGTCGATATTTTTTTACTTATCTGATCTTGAATTATTACCATAATAGAAATCAAGATAAGTAAAAGAGACCGACTTGGGCAAGGCTACTTATGATCTATCATCTATGAAAAACTATCAAAAATAATCGTACCTCTGTGTATGTTTTTCCAAGAGTTCATGAAAGAAGGGAGATTTTCGTGCCAGAAATCGTCCATTTTGCTGTAATCCGGGTATTTACAGCATTCCATCTCTATGGTGATTTCAAAGACGCCGAACTTGACATAATTGTAGTCCTGCATACCGCCTGTTTAATAATTTAATATTTATCAGACCAAGCTTTTATGTATATGTATATATAACTCTGGCGGATTTTCGGTGCGGGTCTTGGGAGAGGATCAGGGAGGGGACCAGAACCCCTACTCCTAAAATAGGTCCTAAGATGTGGTCCCAAAATTCTTTTTCACGATGAGCCTGAAAAGTAGGCCTTTATTGGGCCTCATTTCAAAAAAGGATCAAATTACAAAAAGTGCCCCCACTTGTCAAATTTGAGATCCATGCCTGAATTAAAGATCCAGATTTTATTTCCATTGGGCTGAAATCATGCAGATTTCTGGATAGCAGCTGCACATGGGATGAACATTTACTTTGGAATCTGAAAAATTCTAAGACTACGATCTTTGGTATTGAATTAACCCTTTTCAACAATTACATATATTTTTCAACATTTAATTGACATGGACAATCTACGTCTCGTAATAAATCGGGTCAATCCTTTGAAGTTTTTATGCGTGGGTGGCGTCAAAAGTCAACTATGATCGGAAAACGTATTTTCCTGTCAATCGCGTTGGAAACAGACATTTGATTGAAAATCATCTTCAGTATACACATAACACAATATGTACATTGTTTTCTACGGTGGCAATTTACCCCACTGACATCGGTTTAAGAAAATTACATTGGAACCACGGACTCCAGTTAGCATTTCTTCCGAAACTTCTTTCCCTCTTAATGGGTATGTTATACATTTCTAGCGTAAGCGTTTCGCAGAATGTATTTCACGTGCTTGATTGGAACTGCCACACTAATAAACATCTTACAGAAAAATAGAGTCTAACTAGATAACGGCAACGCAAAATTTCATCGGTTTAATATTTGAGTTTTGATTGACTTCACACAACATTGCGAGATATCTTTTCTCAAAATGGTCAAAATAAATGAATTGCCAAAAGATGTTGAATCTGTCTAAAACTCAAATGGTATACCATATGATGACCCTGTCAATATGCATATTGTGACTAATCATCACAATTTGGGTTGCTAAAGTAGTAAACCAAGGTTTTTAGAGAATTTAAACATTGAATCGATGGAGATATTTTTTCAGAAAAGTTAAGAAAGTCATGGAAAATGACTTATGAAAAAGCTTATTTAAAAATGAATATGAATACAAACAGGTATTTTTAATATTTAAATAAGTTAGCCATAAATTAGATGATCAAATCGTCAGTCGACAGCCGGCAGTTAAATTCCCGAATACTAGCTAAGCATACCAACATACCTTTCACGTAAAACCAATCTGCCCCATTTGAGATTCCATCTGTGAAGTTCCAGTCACAGTTTAGATGCAGTACCCATGCATACATGCGCCCATGACTGTATGAGTATGTCAGAGCCATCTGCCGGAAGATATCGTCATCAGGCGCTTCGCTGTAGCTGCCGAAGACATCTTTGTTTTGACGTTCTTCTTTAGTTAAACGCTCTATAATAACACGCAGTCTATGTGAATCAAGATAACTTAAGTGATAACAAGGGGCGAAACCATATTAATTTTTTCGCTAAACAAAGAGAAGGCAGGCAAGTGTCTTTCTCATTTAGAAAGTATGATAAAACCAGGAAATGAGATTTAAGGAACTGAGGGAATTTTTCTACCTAAAGTGGCGGATGTTTTATGATCTAGATTCCTCTCTCTCTCGATTGGTCAGCGGGGAGAGGGGGATAAGCCTAAATTGTTTATATAGTTAATAGTAAATCTCTATTTCTTGGTATCATATGTCTGACCTATTGTGGAATCACTTTGAAAGTTGAACTTTCATTTTTGAGTTGACTCAAAAGCTGCTACAACGTACTAGTCACTGGCGATCCAGAAGCTAACAAGGGGGCACGTTTTTGGGCCCCTAAAACCAAAAAGTGGACCCAAGTTATTCATGATACTCGGCCCTGAGATTATGATAAGACCTTTAAAAGGCCAGTAATGCCCAAATGAGGCCCACAAATAGAGGCCCTACAAACATTTCGGACCAAAAGATTACTTTGGGCCCAAAATATTTTTTCTGGGTCCACCCAAAGGAGCCCCCCCCTGGACCCGCCTGTGCTAGTAATATGCAATAAATTCTATTGATAAATAAAAAATGGAAGAATGAATATCTAGGTTTTGTAAAACTAAATCTTTATCATCATGAAATAAAAAGATATCATCTTACTATTATCATATGGATAGGAAGCGACCATAGCTCCTCCATGAAGGGATAACGACAAAACAAAGGGGAAGTCTTCAAGCCATCTTTTTACTGCAAGTGTCTCAGGTGATGGCTCAGGATTGTAGCTCTTCTTGAAATATTCCGGACCAAAATTCCGATTCATGTCCACCGAAATCGGTGTGACAGTGTTTCTAGAATAATAAGAACATACGTTTTCACTTTTATTTTAAGTTATGTTAACATATTATGTTTGTAATTATCTTCCAATATTTATTTATTTATTAATTTAATATTAATTCATTTATTTATCTATTTATTTATTTCATTTAATATATGGAGTTTACAAAAAGGTGAAAAAGCATACATTTGTAAATCTTAAATCCAACAAGCAACAACTAGAACATTAGATCACAAATAGACAAGAATTTTTAGAGTTTAAGGAGTGTAGTTTTGCTGGATTTTATTAATTTCTCAAACTTCAGTAAAGATAATGAACACTAACGTTTAGAAATGGCTTTCCAATGGCTTCCTCGTGTTCTAGGCTCTGACCATCACGCTAAATGATTCATGCCCTTCCCAATGAATGTGCTAGGCTCTGACCCTCAGGCTAAATTATTCATGCCCTTCCCAATGAATGTGCTAGGCTCTGACCCTCAGGCTAAATTATTCATGCCCTTCCGAATGGCTTCATCTACCTCATGTAGTAGGCTCTGGCTCACAGGCTAAATTATTCATGCCCTTACCAATGACTTCATCTACCTAATGTACTAAGCTCTGGCCCTTGAGCTAAATTATTCATGCCCTTCCAAATGGCTCCATCTACCTCATGTAGTAGGCTCTGGCCCTCAGGCTAAATGATTCATGCCCTTCCCAATGATTTCATCTACCTAATGTACTAAGCTCTGGCCCTTGAGCTAAATTATTCATGCCCTTCCAAATGGCTTCATCTACCTCATGTAGTAGGCTCTGGCCCACAGGCTAAATGATTCATGCCCTTCCCAATGGCTTCATCTAACTCATGTAGTAGGCTCTGGCCCACAGGCTAAATGATTCATGCCCTTCCCAATGGCTTCATCTACCTAATGTACTAGGCGCTGACCCTTGAGCTAAATTATTCATGCCCTTCCGAATGGTTTCATCTACCTAATGTACTAGGCGCTGACCCTTGAGCTAAATTATTCATGCCCTTCCAAATGGCTTCATCTACCTAATGTAGTAGGCTCTGGCCCACAGGCTAAATGATTCATGCCCTTCCCAATGGCTTCATCTACCTAATGTACTAGGCTCTGGCCCTTGAGCTAAATTATTCATGCCCTTCCAAATGGCTTCATCTACCTCATGTAGTAGACTCTGGCCCACAGGCAAAATGATTCATGCCCTTCCCAATGGCTGCCGCTTCATCTAACTCATGTAGTAGGCTCTGACCCTTGAGCTGAATTATTCATGCCCTTCTAAATGGCTTCATCTACCTCATGTACTAGGCTCTGACCCTTCGGCTAAATGATTCATGCCCTTTCCAATGGCGTCATCTACCTAATGACATAGGCTCTGGCCCTTGAGCTAAATGATTCATGCCCTTTCCAATGGCTTTCTCTACCCTAATGTAATAACCCCGGGGCTCTAACCCTCAGGGTACCTCAAGATCAAGCCCTCTTAAATCCTCTTGTTAAATATTCCGCTTTTTAAACTCACCTTCCTTTGTTTCCTGCACAAATTCTGTCAGAGCTCCCACCCGCAGGGTTCTTATTGTAGGCCTTCATGAAGCCGTCTGGGTTTAACATCGGCAGCACATGCAGCCGTGATGAGTTCATCAACGCTGTTATTGTATCATCCTTGCCATAATTTTGTCCAAGATATGCCAGGAATCGAATCAATACTTGTCCACCGACAGGCTGCACGAGAGTATGGAAGACCAGAGTTAGGAAGATACCGTTCTCTGAACACTAGGCTCTAGACATTATCCACCCTGTCCCTTTATGATGAACAGAGTGGATGATGTTTGAAGTCTTGCATTTGGATGATGGTGAGATACCATGACTGACAGTCGAATGGTCTTCGTGGGCTTCATACTGACAGCCATGATCATTGCAATTCAGATGTTAAACACTCGACTCTCAGTCTCGCAATAAGCTGCACAAATGCAGCTCATGCATTAACCATCCGTTAATAAGCTTCGAACTTCAACCTATACTCTCGATATAAATCAAACCTATAAATTGATAGTGCAGAGAAAAATGACACTCTAAGCAATAGTTTTAAGAATATCTACTGAGACTGAGTTATTTCTGTATAGTACCCGAATAGGATAGTTAGAAAATTGGAGGGCGGGGAGGCTGTTCGATAGATTGAACTAACCTCATTGCCATGGATACCTCCGACATACTTAATTTCAGGTCTTAACAAAACGTGTTCATCTGGTTTTTCGGCACTGACGGTCACTACCCAGATTTCTCTACCCTTGCCTGATTTGCCAATAGAATACATGGACATCTGGGAAGGGTATTCCTCTACCAAATCCTTCAGTATATCGGTCATCTCATCGTGGCTTATATAAGTGGTACGATTATATTTTATTGATTTCATTATGTCAGACGCCCTCGACTCATCTAAAAATTATGAATTACTCTATTAAGCTGTCAAGTTTTAAAATTGAGGATTATTAAACTATTGATTTGCTGGAAAACCAAATGGGGATAAACTTGATGATGCAAAGGGATATAAAGTATATTTTATGCGACGCAATTTCTAAAAAGATCTGGGAACTTTGGAGGTGATTTGTAAATGGATGCATATATCTTAGAATACAATTGCTTAATGAGATCTTATGAGGATTGAATATACGAGTTTGTATACCTTATTCCAACGCCTGAGCCAAAAGGATTCAGTTAGATACCTGACGATTTGTAGGTAAACAGAAAAAGAACTGATGAACTGGACTTGGAAATGGATTGAATTAAACATGTAACTGCTCCAAAAAGACGTAATACTCTTAAAACACACGTGAGAAACAAATTCTTCAAACTGTTTTGAAAGATCAAATCAATAGTGTATCATCTAAATGAAAACGTACCTTTAATTTCTATTATTTTCGAAACCGTTAATTGCAAAACCTCAATCTGTATCACCAAAGTATCTGCATTTCCGGCATTAAATCCTTTCCTTAATATTTTTAATTTCTCCGAAAGTGTCTTCAGTTGATCTGCAAGTATACATTCAGTATTACGATAAACTGCATGTAACTCCCAAATTGCCTGCTTCGCGGAAAACACAATTCCCATATGTATCTTGTCCAGAACTACGGTTTCGCCCGGAGGCTGTCTATAAATGTATCCAGCCAGTTTTTTCAATTCGCCAATCACATTTTTAATATCCTGTAATGATTTAATTTCTTTTTCTGTTGTAAAGCACGATTGTGTGTTGACTTGGGTCAGAGTGACCGCTTCACATATTTTTTGAAATAACGTCAAAACGACAATTATGACGACGGTCTGTTTCAAATACATGTCTACCGTTGTTGAGGTATATGCTGTAAAGATTTACAATATAGTTCAAATTAATAAGCACATATACTAGTCTTTATTGGTTTTATTGTATATCTGGTCATTTAGATATATAGTAAAACAACTATGATCATACCGTTTATCGAGGTGGATTGACATGCTAGCCATCAGAACATATGCAAATATCTTTCGATATACTTCATTGGTTTCCCTGTCAAAATACTTAATTGAACTCAAATGCAAAATTCGGGCATGCATCAAGTTTTATTGAGAATGGCGCGGCATGTAAAAAACGAAACAATAATATGGACGAAACGTCTTGTGAAAATGAGAGCGATTTTTTAGAATCCCTTTACAAGTGTTTTGATATCTTTGCTTCCCGGGAATAGGCATTTCGTCTAGTGTAACCAAATAATCGCGGGATGTTTGATTTCTTTCGACAGATGTCATCTCTAAATAGTGGGATGAAAAAATCGAATATGTTTTTCTTACGTACGATTCGTACATAATGCAAATATGTTTGCCATGATTGATGAAATACAATTGAGTAAGGCACTTTAAAACGGAAACGCCTGTTCTTTCTGCAGTGTTCATCACTTCCCGTGGCATCGTTTTATACCGATATTTAAGAATCGTTCACAATTTATCCGCGATGAAAAGGATCTTTTACCCTTTGCATTCGTTTGACTTCACTTCTTAAAAGAGAGCTTCGTCTGTAGTTTAACTAGACTCTGCACGCAGGGTAAGGATCTTTTGAAAGTCGGTCATAAAAAAATCCTTGTACTGTGGTATACGAGCCACGGTATATAGGGGTGAAGTATTGTGAAATTCTAGGTCGGGTAAAAAAGTTCATTTTACTAGTATCGGTTCTCGTCGCATTATTCTACTGGTGACGTCTGTCACTTGCTTCAAATAAGGACGATACACTTTGCAGGGGCGTAGCCAGCTTTCAGTCGGGGGGGGGGGGGGGGGGGGGGGGGGGTGCGATCGCCGAAAATTTTTCAGTTATCGGTCAGGGGGGGGGGGGGGGGTGCGATTTTGCCATAAGTAACACAAAAAATTAAGATTTCTTTTGAATTTTACAAAAATTGATGCAACTTCCTTCAAAATTGAGCTAGAAGCTTCAAATAAAAAGCATTTTAAAGCTCTTTTCTACCTCTATCCAATGGTCATATTTTCAAAGGTTATGGGGGGGGGGGGTGCCCCCCATCGCCCCCCCCCCCTGGCTACGCCCATGCTTTGAGAAACATATCTAGCCATCATTTTCGGAATACAAAAAGATAAATGAACAAGGTTGAAAGGTGGTAATACTTTATAAACATTGGAAAAAAGCACATACAAGTATCTACACAAAGAATAATGAGTTTTCCAGACAAAAAATTGACAGAAATGAAGAAAATTGCAGAAAACCCCTCAAATCTTCGATGTAATTGGTATACAGGTGCGGTTAGCTCTAATACAATCACTTACCAACCAAGACTTTGCATTTTACCCTGCGCGCAGAGTCTAGTTATAAAGAAAGCTCTCTTTTGAGAAGCAAAGTCGAACGAATGCAAAGGGTATATTTGCATTTGGAATGCGCACCTCAAAATGACAGGTTATTTCATGAATCACAAAATAACCTTCTTGAAAGACAAAAAGTTTTCCAGTAGATATAAAATATAATATACTTCTACATGATGTATCTAAATCAATACAAGATTAAGATATGAAGTACATATAGTATCGACCTAAATCGAGGTCAACGATTTGATTTTTCATTAACACTAGTATTGACGTACAGATATGTCATGAAACGCTCAATTGACAATTAAATAAACAAACTATTGTTACTTTATATTTATTGTTATGTTGTAACCATGTAAAATCTTAAATCAGACTAAGGAAGCAATTTATTATTCAGTCATTATTTAACCTAACATTTTTACTTGTGCTAAAATGTTGAGTTTCACAATATACAGGGTGTTCTAAAAAAGTAAACTTTTTTTAATCATGAGGTAATCCTCTTGAATCTATATGTATAAAGTGTTAAATGCATGAAGCAATTTTATACTTATACACCATCATGGACATTAATGTAGAAAATTCAAAATTCTGTTTTTGTCAATCCTTTCGAAACAATCAAAAGTAGTCTAACCTATGAATGACCTTTTTTGATTGAAATGCAATACTTGTGGCACATGTTCCACCAACCTCCGATCACAGGGCTTCAAAATCCAGAATATATTCTTTCTTTTTACCCCCTGCGATAAGCAGTTAGAATTTCCCCGTTTAAGAACTCGCAATCTGATTGGCTGTTGCAACACTGCGACAGAAATCATGTATAAGTCATTGCGCATAATAAGATCTTGTGAATCAGTTTAATCAGGCGCTTCCAAATTGGTTATAGCAGGGGGGAAGATGGAGGTACGGATTCTGGACACCTGCTTAGGAGGATGATGTTCCACTTGGATGTGCATTGGCTGTGCAGATGGAGAATGATAGAAAATCAACCAATAAATCAATTAAGAGGTCAAATTTTCCTTCCTAAGGAACTACATACAGTCTTTTTTTAATTTACAAAACAGTTTATTTCATTTTCATAATTTATTATAAAATACTGAGGAAGGGATAGCCTGTACATAATATCTCTTTGGATCCAGTTTATTCATGGACATGAATTCCTTGGTGTTTAGGTTATTAACAGGATTTATGTGATTAACGTCATAACATATCTTACAAAGCAGAGTTTGATGCTTATACCTATTCAGAAGCAATCAATCAACCCATCAATCATATCAATAGACTATTTGCTATATAGACGGGAAAATAGATGGCGGCAGCACGTGTGTTGGTAGAAAATGGAGACATATGGCAACAATCACTAATTTTGATTTGATTAAACATTAAAATTGTGACCCTATAAGAGTGAATGAATTTTTGAAGGTTTTTTAACATCGTGTTAATGAGGATTTAGCCCAAACTTTTTCAGAAAACTTGAATAAATGTACATAACTGTACAACTCAAAATTATTTTGAAAGAAAATTACACAAAGAATTCAAATAAGGCCATCAATTAGAAGAAATTGTTGGTCTGAAATGGTTAAAAATGCAGATCTCTAAAAATCTCATCAAAAACGAGACTTCAACAATTTCAAAGCTATTTAGCAAACCCTCTATTGAAATGTTTCATTGATGATGAATCATCCTTTAGATGCTAAGTGCTGTAATTTACATTACATCAATAAGATGTTACAAACAGTAATCAAATGTTACATACAGTAATCATATGGTACATACAGTAATCATATGTTACATACAGTAATCAAATGTTACATACAGTAATCAAATGTTACATACAGTAATCATATGTTACATACAGTAATCAAATGTTACATACAGTAATCAAATGTTACATACAGTAATCAAATGTTACATACAGTAATCATATGGTACATACAGTAATCATATGTTACATACAGTAATCATATGTTACATACAGTAATCATATGTTACATACAGTAATCAAATGTTACATACAGTAATCAAATGTTACATACAGTAATCAAATGTTACATACAGTAATCAAATGTTACATACAGTAATCATATGTTACATACAGTAATCAAATGTTACATACAGTATGTAATATACAGTATGTCATACATCATATGTGATATACAGTAATTAGAACAAATACAGTATTATATAGATGTTACATACGCTAATTATGTATTACAAACAGTTATCATATCGTATACAATCAGATGTCACGTAAAGTAATTGATATTACACTATTGAAATCACTCTTTTAATGTCTTTCTCTAGCATCCCTTAACCCACCCTCAGTTTTACAACTAATTTCTGCAATGACATACATATAAAGGTTAGAATCTGATTGTCAGTATGTAAGTTTGTACATAACATGGTTATTAGTATTTTGAGATCATATTTTAAATAATCAAACATCAATCCAACAGGACAATTTCTGAGATATAAGGACATATAACATGGTGAATAAATTCGATGGATTAATTACTTATAACAAATAAGACAACGTAAAACTTTTTAATTATTGGATTTCAAGAGATATCTCCACTTCAAGTAATATTAACTAAATGAGTAATAGACAATAATATTACATATGAATAAACATGTAAACGACCAATGGCACAAGTAAGACAAATAGTAGACGAGCAAATAAATATATTTTCAAAACATACAAAATTAATCAATAATATACATTAATATTAAAACACATGCCTAATAAATAGTTGTCCATGTCAATGAAGAAATAATGAAAATAAAGTTAGCATGAAACATTTTGTCTTAGATGGGGTAATGTTATGTTACAATGAGGCTAGGTGATAGTGGTACAAGGCCATGTCATGTTACAATGGGGCCTTGTCATGCCAAAATAAATATATATGATGTCACAATGAGGCAATTGTGTTGTCAAGGTAAGAAAATGTGACCCCACCATAAAAGCCATACCATACTACATAATTCCAAAATATGGTCATGTTGTGTCACAGTGAGGTGAAGCTTTTCTACTACAATGTAAAGTAAATCATGTACTTCATGGGAACAGTAAACCCTGTATGACATAAATTTATGGGTCACCCTGTAAAAATGGATTCACGGGTCAACCTGTATAGAATGGATCCATATCTAACTATGTACAACATAGCTATGGCTCATCCTGTATAACATAAATTCATGGGACACCTTGTATAAGATGGACACATTGCTCACCATGTACAACATAGCTATGGCTCAACCTGTATAACATGAATTCATGGGACACCTTGTATAAGATGGACACATTGTTCACCCTTTACAATAATCTCACCCTGTACAACATAGCTATGGCTAAACCTGTATAACATGAATTCATGGGACACCATGTATAGGATGGACACATTGTTAACCCTCTACAACATATCTCACCCTGTACAACATAGCTATGGCTCAACCTGTATAACATGAATTCATGGGACACCTTGTATAAGATGGACACATTGTTCACCCTCTACAACATATGTAACCCTGTACAACATAGCTATGGCTCATCCTGTATAACATGAATTCATGGGACACCCTGTATAAGATGGACACATGGCTCACCATGTACAACATAGCTCACCCTGTACAACATAGCTCACCCCATATAACACAGATTTGGTTCACCCTATGAATATGGATCCATTTGAACTAGCACCAAGAACAAATATACATGTAACATGTGACATTACAAATGGATTTCAACATTTTGGATTAAACCATTACTATTTACAAGACAAGATAAAAAATACAAACGATTTCTTGTTTTAACGTTCTGAATCTTAATATCGACTTCATTCATTGCAGATAAAAAGTCCTAAATTACGACTAACTAAGCAATATAAGTATTAGGACTGAACTGTTGGGCAATATCCAGTAAATTATACCATAAAGCTAATTGATAGCTTAGTACATGTATAAGAGAACAACATTAAAACTGACTCATAATTCCATTTTGACAAGTAGATGCTGCACCCTAGTTAGACAGGCACAACCTGTTCTGGCAAGGGTATTTACAGCTCTGCAATAAAAAAGTGGCGATCAGTAGGATACTCCACAAATAAGCCATTTTAATGCTATAGTTTTCCCTCCTGTCTCTCTTGTACGTTCTACTCTTAAACGAGTAGGGCACCTGCAAAATTGATTTCCTGCATTTGACAACTTAGAGTGTACCTTGGATGGATGATGCCTTGCTATACCACTCCGAATTGTATTTTAAAGCATGATAGCTACAGGTACAAGATAAAATTCAGGGCCCTCCACAATTGGGTCTTCTAGTCTGTACCAATGGCTTGTCTTTGTATCCTTCAGGATCCTCACATATATGAACCACAATGGCAGGGGCATTATCAACTGGTGGGTGAAGCTCATGTTTTTCACCTGAAAAATACATATCAGACATTAAAGGATATATACATATAACATGTGACATTAGCAGGGGCATTATCAACTGGTGGGTGAAACTGGTGTTTTTCACCTGAAATATACATAAATCTCATGGATATGTAGATCTGTCACATTTGTCAGTATATAACAATTTCAAGGCCATAGCATTAGGAGTACATACTAAATTCAATATACTTTATTTGTTATATGTTACGCATATGTTGGAAAAATCAAAGTTGAAAGGAGAACAATATTGACATTTGACATACAGTAGCATTTACAATATAACTCTGATTGCATATCCTCTAGTTAAACCATATATGTCAAATATGTAAGATAAGATAAAGTATTTAAGATTAAGACAATAGAATGACACCTGATATAGTTTGAATCAAAGTAAACAGTGAATTAATCTCATCTTTATTGTTCGCTGTACAAAGATATAGAATAAGATGCTTTATCTGAAGATTTATTGTCTAAAAATAAACAGGAATATGTAAATTCTATAATTCTCATAGGACACAAGTGCAGTAAAACCTGTACATGTGAAGACTTCTCTAACCTGTACACTTCTCAATTGTGAACACTTTTTTTCATTTTTTAACTCCCATAGATGTCTATATTTAAAATGTGAATGCCTGCCAATCTGAACACTTCTGGCTGGTTCCAGTGCAGTGGTGTTCGCATTAGGCAGGTTTTACTTTTCGAGATTCTTTGTTTTGCGTCCTGGCAAAATCCAAATCATGCAAGGGTACGAGAAAAACAAACAGAAACTCAAGAAAAAACACAAACTTGTTTGCCGAGAAATGTATACATTTAATTGTCATAAAAGGGATGACATACCAATTTGCAGTATTCATTTCTATACATTTTATACAATATATTTAAACATAGCTATCATTCAAGGGTCTATATGAGAACAATTTTATGCCCTTAATCTATCGACCAACAAGAGTAACTCATAACAGTGCAACTTTGATTGATAATATATTCACGAATGTTAATAATGTGACATCATCAGGTGTAATACTTTATGACATCTCTGATCATTTTCCAGTATTCTGCACCTCTTTACTTGAAAAACCATCTTATAAAAAAATCAAAATAAGTTATCGTTCATATTCTGATAAGAACTTAACCAGATTTAAAGATGAAATATGTCTCATGGAATGGACTGATTTAAAACAACAGGACAATGTCAATGAAGCATATTCAATATTTATTAACAAATTTACTGAGGTGTACAATAGATGTCTCCCAATATTAACTAAAACTGTCAAAACTTACTGTAACTTAGAAAGACCATGGATATCCCTTGGTATTATTACTTCAGCTAAGAGGAAAAATAAACTATATATTAAGTTTAAAAAATGTCAACTGATGAAAATAGACTCACTTACACTAATTATAAAAATAGACTTAATCACATTATCAGGAATGCAGAAAAGCTTCATTATAAGAAAAAATTTGAAATTAGCAATGGCAATATAAACAAGACACACAGTGATAAATATCGCACTTTGAAGAGCAAACTGGCCACCATGCAATTTACCCAGCATGGCCAAAACCTAATCAGACCTTGGCACTAGTCTGCTCTTGCATCTGTAAACATTTCAAGTTGACAAGGTTAGCGGTTTTCCTGCAATTTTGATGACAAGAATTTATTTGTAGTCTTGAACTTTGGGAAAATTTAGATAACATTGTTTGTGACCTTATTTGATGACCTTCGACCTTGAAAATTTCACTTTTTCAGACCTCAGTAGGTGTTTTGTAATTAAGCTGACCTAAATTTAAATCCAAAATATCAATTTAGAAAATCAAATTTTTGACCTTTTAAAGGTCACTGAAGGTCAACGAAAGGTCCAATCTGAAATCTAAGGTCAGATTTGAACTTCTGAGAACTTGTAGATGTTTTTTTAAAAAAAATTTGGTCAATTTGGAGCAAGTTGAAAAATTCAAAATGGCCGCCAAATTGAAAAATTCAAAATGGCCACCATGTTATTCAGCCAGCATACCCAAAACCTAATCAGATCTTGGCAATAGTCTGCTCTTGCATCTGTAAAAATTTCAAGTTGAACGGATAAGTGGTTTTCCTGGAATTTTGATGACAAGATTTTTTGAAAAATTCAAAATGGCTGCCACGTAGTTTACCCAGCATGCCCTTAACCTAATCAGATCTTGGCACTAGTCTGCTATTGCATGTGTAAAAATTTCAAGTTGAACAGGTTAGCGGTTTTCTTGGAATTTTGATGACAAGAATTGATTTGTAGTCTCAAACTTTGAGAAACTTGGATAACATCATTTGTGACCTAGTTTAATGACCTTGACCTTCGACCTTGAAAATTTCACTTTTTCAGACCTCAGTAGGTGTTTTGTAATTAAGCTGACCTAAATTTAAATCCAAAATATCAATTTAGAAAATCAACTTTTTTGACCTTTTCAAGGTCACTGAAGGTCAACGAAAGGTCAAATCTGAAATCTAAGGTCAGATTTGAACTTCTGAGAACTTGTAGATGTTTTTAAAAAAAAATTGGTCAATTTGGAGCAAGTTGAAAAATTCAAAATGGCCGCCAAATTGAAAAATTCAAAATGGCCACCATGTAATTCAGCCAGCATACCCAAAACCTAATCAGATCTGGTATGACTCCACCATTCTTTTGCCGTTTTACTACATGCCACAATCAACCTCACTGTCAGCATATCAAACCATGCCCATTTTCCATCAAACTTGGCCCAACTACTATCAGGTGGATGTCCTTCAAAAATCAAGTTGGCATGGTTACCAAAGCCTTATAGTTGCCATGGCAACTGTACAAATGGGGTAAAAAATTAGAGCAAAAAAACACCCAAACCCACCATATTGGCACTAATTTATAAAATATTTCTAGACATACAAATTTTCTTAAACTTTGATATCATCTGAGACACTTCTAGACAACGAAAATATCAAAAATTGGGGGTAGGTTTACCACTTCGATTTTTTTCTAGGCTTGGTCAAAGTAAAACTACGAAAAATGCACTCATTTTCACTTTTGAATCACCTATTATCGCCCAAATGGCTATATTTTTTCAAGGTCAAGGTCGCCATGTTAAAAGTAGAATTACGGAGATAAATCTGCTCTTCAGACAATGTTTGATGGCTATTCTTCACCACGGAACAAAGATATTTGCGCTGGTATGCCCATTTCCATGAGATAATATACGTAAAAGAGGAACTATGTCTTTAAATGTCATCAAAACTTTATGCCAACACGTGAAAAGGCCATTTCGCACTACTTTTGGTGTAATAATTCCATCTTGACAATAGTCTGCTCTTGCATCTGTAAAAATTTCAAGTTGAACGGATAAGTCGTTTTCCTGGAATTTTGATGACAAGATTTGTTGAAAAATTCAAAATGGCCGCCACGTAGTTTACCCAGCATGCCCTTAACCTAATCAGATCTTGGTACTAGTCTGCTCTTGCATCTGTAAAAATTTCAAGTTGAACAGGTGAGCAGTTATCCTGGAAATTTGATGACAAGATTTGGTTTATGTGCCGCCCACACGCCCGCACAACCGCACGCCCGCCCAACAGCACAAGACGACGACAATATAGCACTTTTTCAAAGTGCGATAAAAAGACCTGGGATGTAATAAACTCTATTTTGAAACGTAAACAACCTAAGAAGATCCTTAATGATAATTTTATCCATGAAGGAAGAAAAATTGATGATGGAAAATCCATAGCAGACAATTTTAATAAATTTTTTAGCACAATTGGTGAAAAGTTAGCTAATGAAATTAACTCGGATAAAGACCCACTTGATAATGTTAATAAAATCGAACGTAATATTAATTCAATTTTCTTGGCACCTGTTGATGTTAATACTGTCCAAAATCAAATCAAGAACTTAAAGGACTCAGCCGCAGCCATTGATGATATTAAACCAAAAGTTGTTAAAGTATTACATGATCATATAGCTGATCCTCTTACTTTCATTTATAACCTCTCTATGACCACAGGTATTTTTCCTGAAGAACTTAAACTTGCTAAAGTTATTCCAATTTTCAAAAAGGGGGAACATGATAAATTCACAAACTATAGACCAATATCTATTTTAAGTGTATTTGCTAAGATGTTTGAAAAAATAATGCATGACAAAGTATCTACTTTTTTAGAGAAATATGAATTATTGTATTTACACCAGTACGGCTTTCGGAAACATAGATCAACTTACATGGCACTCCTAGAATTTATTGAAAATGTCAGACATTCATTAGATAACAAAGAATATTGTATCGGAATATATTTGGATCTATCAAAAGCTTTTGATACTGTTAATCATGCAATATTACTTAAAAAAATGGAACATTATGGTATAAGAGGAATTGCACTTTCATGGTTTTCATCTTATTTATCAAATCGAAAAATGAAAACTGAATACTCTAAAAGTTTATCCGAGAAATATTTGTCTGAAGAAGCAATCGTTAACTGTGGAGTACCCCAAGGGTCTGTTCTAGGCCCCCTCCTATTTATCATATTTGTAAATGATTTCTATCTAGTTTCTGATAAACTCAAACTGGTGATTTATGCGGATGACACTAATATATTATGTAGTGATTCCAATCTTGATAATTTGACCACAACCGTAAATTCTGAACTGTGTGACATCAATGATTGGTTGTTGGCCAATAAACTCACTTTAAATGTTAAGAAAACAAAATACATGGTCTTTGGAAATAAAAGAAATATATCTGTGAACAATGAAATAAAAATTGCAAATTCTAACCTTGAAAAAGTAGATGAGATAGGATTTCTGGGAGTAATTATTGATTCAAAATTATCTTGGGCTCCCCATATCAATGCTCTTCATAGAAAAGTTTCAAATGTTATAGGAATGTTATATCGAACAAATTATGCTCATACTTTAAATTCAAAGATGATAATATATAACTCTCTGATTTTTTCTCATCTTAATTACTGTAATATTTTATGGGGAGATGCTTGTAAGAATCTATTAAATAAACTACTGATATTGCAAAAGAAATTTGTTAGATTAATAACAAATTCAGATAGATTAGCTCACACATTCCCAATTTTTCAAGATCTTAAAATACTTAATATTTATCATATTCACACAATCCAAACTGTTTCATTCATGAAAAAAGTTATAAGCAAATCTGTACAGTTCCCTTCAAAATTATACGATCATTATTTCAAAACTAGAGAAAACATACATCAACGTATTACTCGATTTGGTCATAACTTAGATATTCCTAAACATAGAACCAGAATTGGTGAAAATTCTATTAAGGTCCATGGTTCATATATATGGAATTCCCTCAATGAAGATATTAGAAATAAACCATTAAATTCACTCATATCTCGTTTGAAAATTGACCTCCTGAGTACAGAGTAACCAAAACATTTATTTCATTTCTTTATTGTCTCATATTATTGTATTTGTATATTGTATTTATATTATTGTATTGACCTATGTACCACTTTAAATGTTCACAGTTTATCATGTTTATTGTAAATTTAATTATGGGCAGTCATACACCCCCTGGGGTGTCATAGCCTGTATAATGTTGTAATTTTTGTAATGAAAACTGAAATAAATTATTTTGAAATTGAATTGAATTGAAGGGTAAAAAATAAGAAAATACACAATGTATGCCAAAGTAATCAATAAAACTGTCAATTTTGACACACATCACATTATCCGCCATTTCGTCTGTTTCTGATTGAACGAAATGCGATGGTATTAGCTTTCAGACCTTTGTGATTGCTATTTGGATGTGTTTGTTTTTCCTGATTTACTCAAAATCGTGCAAGCAAGGGGACGCAAAACAAAGAATCTACTTCTTATGGCCTAACCAGAATAAACAAAGTGTCCATAATGTCTCTTTACACATACTTTGTAGAGACTTTATGGACACTGTACCCTGTATACCTGTAATATTTCTATTAATAAGAGTACCAACTCACCTGGGGCAAGTCTGACTACTGCATTGAGAAGGTCATAATTGATGATGGGTTCTGCCTCTGGGACTGGTTCCCAGCCAACAGGGGGTGAGGCTGGGGGTGAGATAAGGAATTGTTTCTCAAGGGGTGGGAGCTGAAGATAAGGTTCTGAGTTCCTCAATGCCTCACTTGGTGACTAGAATAGAACAAAGGAAAATAGTTTATTCAATTATACGTACAAGAAGGTCAATTTTATCTAATGGAACATACATGTAACAGTAAAACCTTTCAAAGCGCAACACCTTTGGTACCTGTAAAAGTGTTCCACTTATGAGGTGTTCCACTTATTGAGGTTCATAAAGTCAGTTGGTCTTGAGACTGAAAAATGTTCCACTAACAGAGGTGTCTTACTTCTAGAGGTGTTCCACTTTACAGGTTTTAGTGTAGTACATACAGTATTTCATTAGAAAGTAGATTTAGCATATGATTTTATCAAGAAAGAATACTGGGACATTGCCAAGATCCAAAAACAGGTGATACTTTCTTTAAAGAAAAATGAACCTATGGAAGTGAAACACCTCCCAAGTGGAACATTATTTCGAAGAACCAAATACATCTCACTTTCAAAGGTTTTACTGTATATAATATGTAAATAATGAACCTATATAAATATGATGAACAGAGTTACAAACCTGCACAAAAAAACATTTGATTCTATTGCCACACAGTTCTGTTTCATGTAACTGTATACGAGCCTTTGCCGCCACAATTGGTGAGCAGTAATTACAACGAGCTCTACGGAAACTCTTCAAATACTGAAACGTGGCACCAGCGTCAAACTGTCGAAACACTTCCTCAAAGATGGACTGAAATCAAAAATGGAGTAGTAATTACATAATTGCTCCAATTCTATGACATATTACACATACATATTACAATACCAGATAAACCATTAATTTATAGTAAAAGTGTAATCAATGCAACGACAATTAGCTGAATGACGTAGAGATGTGAAGTACAAATTACTGTATTGATTATCTACTCATCATCAATATCATACATTTGTTTAACTATCAGATACATAAGGGTAATATGAAAAGTGAACCACTAAAACTGATGATTATTTAGTTTAAGGGAACTTTGTAATACCCTGCCATGTTATTATTTCCCCTGAATTAGCCACCTGGTGGCGAAATTGATAACTACCTACTCGCAATGTAATATGAACTATTTTCTTCTTCAATATTTCAATATTTCAAGATAGATTTTTGGATTGCCACTTAAAATTTATCAAAAATAATGCAAATGACTGCATGTGAACAGCCAATTTTCAGAAGCACTGAGTTTTCAATAATGCCATTTTGACACAAAACCAAATTTTGATGCTCGGACAGAACAATAGGATGCAGGGATTGTTTTATCTTAGCTATTTTATCTAAATTTCGAAAAACATATCTGAGCATAATATGGTAATTTGCAGATTGAATCAGAATTGAATGTTATTTATAAAATAGTGAAAATAGTGAAAATGTTACTTTTAATTTTATGGGGTTGCCATTTTTGTGTGTTGGAGGCATTCTTTACGAATAACTGAGTCCCTGGGACTCACTTTTACGAACCCTACTAAAAACAATGAGGTACCAAGCTGGTACCTCAATATGATATAAAGTTTTCCTTTGACCTTTGTGTAAAAATGGTGTATTATGCATGGGTGTAGCCAGGGGTACAATCACACCTCCCCCCATCCTCACCTCCCCCCATCCCCACAAACAAAGAAAAAGCAATTTTGTAAAGTTGAAAAAACATTAACAGAGTTTGAAATGCTTAGAATGTACCATATACAATGTAAATCTTAAAAAATTACCCCATCCCCCCTGTAATGACTGTCTCTTTTATAAGATGCATTATTCACTTGGTCAATAACTATAAACAAAATATAGAGTTAGTCTATGTTGTATTCTGTCATTTAACTAAATTGTTCTAACATTTCTTATATTTTTGATTAAGTCAAGACACAGCCATTACTCATCAGCATGGACATTTAAGATGATTCCTTTTATGCAATATGTAGATTGATATTCTAAACTAATTGATTTGGTAAAATGAGATAATGTGAAAAACTGGTTATTGACTAAAATAATTGGCAATTTTGTACAGAATTCGTGATTCACTTTGCAGGCACCAAATTGATACAATTACAGTATTTATCACCATGTTTAGACCAATATACTGTACATGCATCATGAAATACTGTACATCAATTACAACTCTAAAAATAACAAGATGCCATTACATGCAAAATGTCACCAACTGCCAATTGTTACAGATTACAGAAGCCAGACCGCCAAACACAGTCCATAAAAAAAGAAGGAGACTATAACAGTGGGATAATTTTGCACTTGTAAGCTCACATGGTGAAACAGACACATTCATGATTTGCTGAATATCTGTTTCTTTTGTGTGATTTAATGGTACAAACCCAAGAATCTTTAGGTTTTACCAGAACCTGGTGGCAAACGCAGGTAAATGGGTGATTGAAAGGGTAACAATTCGTTATACCATTATGAGTCAAGAATGTCATGATCTCTAGCCATGTTTGCTGTCTTGAGACTTGAGTAAATCTGCTTTTTGATTGTGACCAAAATCTTCAGAGGTTTATGTATTAATGGGGCGCATTTAAATTTCTTTATTCAAGATTTTTCTCAGTTTTATGTAAATTCCTATTGCTCCTGCCCAGCTCTGGTCAAATCTCTGATAGTCAAACTCAGGAAAGACAGTCAAACTGCTAGGAAAGAATGTTAAGCTCCTCGTTGTCAAGATTTCCAAAAAGTTAACTTTGCCTATCTCTGGCTCTGATACATCAACTGATAATCCTAATAGACTTGATATTTGAAATCTACATAAAAAAATCATATCTAGAAACATAGTTTTAAATTTTTTTAATTTTATCTCTGAAAATTTAATATTCTTTGACTGATCCACTGTACATTAAGAAAATGGACTACTTGTAAAGAGGGGAGATGTCAATGCGGTAGCCTGACAGTTGCCCCAGGGTATTTCAATATAAAGAGACTTCCTAGGGGGTACTAGAGGTTTCATGGATACCCAATTTTGTTCTGATCCGCGGAATTATGCCCTCGGAACAGAACACAAATTGAGAATTTCGGTTCAGTTCCGGAACAAGAACATTTCACCCTTTCACAACTTTTGGCCCTTAAATCACCACAAAACAGCATTTTTCTTTCAATATTTTGCACGAAAAGAGGTTCATTCTTTTCACTCCTTCTCGCTTTTCGCTACCAAATAGACCTAGATGATCAACTTATCTTAATCTTATACACGCAGTCACTCTGTTCCATGACATCTCTAGGGGGTACAGGGGCCAACCAGGAAGGTTCCTTTCAATTTCAAAATGAGTTGTAAATATAGATCTATCTTTCAATGTTAAGGTTTTAAATACAGTGTTTTCAGTAGGCTTGTCCAAAATTGCGTCCCTTGGACGTAATGATTTTCAAAAAATGTGTCTCCCTTCAAAAAACTGCGTCCCTTGAAAAAATGTTCCCGGGAATTCAAAAGTCACGTTTTTACACTGGATGAAATAAATTGATGAAATTTTGTACCACTGCTTTTGCTATTTATCGGTCTGAATCAGCGTTCTTGCAAGTCTAGTATGTCATTGAATGATACAGATACCATCATAACTTATATTCTCCCATTTAAAACACCTTTTCCTTGCGAATTTCGAAACAATTTGCTATTGATTTTGCTTTAGCATGTTTAGTTTAGGGGCAATCTGCGCGAGGTTCAACTTTTTAGTTCAGTTTCTTGCGCATATGCAGTCTCAAATAATGATCACGTGATCACACTTGACCAATTGAAAATGGTTTGAATCAGGTCTTAAGCTACCGGCCAATCGTAGGACTCATACTGATTACTGCTCGGAAATCGAGTATTGTATAAATTTTTGTCCTATCACATGCCTCGTACTATTTCGATCAGAAATCAACTTCCGGGAAGGAAATTTCGAAAGAAAATTTTATTTCTTTTAGAAATAGAATTTTCTTCAATTATTTATTGGATTCTGACGAAATAAAGAGACTGAAGGTAAGATCTTTATCAAATCATTCATCCAAAGTTGATTGTATGAGTATGGCTTGCACTGCGTCCACAAAACGCAATCACTTTTTATTTCCGGGTCCATGGATTTTTCATTACGTTTTTGCAATACTTGGACGGCGTTATTGAAATAGCAGAAATACTATTCACAGATACTAGTTTTCTGCATGAAAAAAATCAAAATTCTGCAAGAAAAAAAGCAAATTCTGCAAGGAGAAAATTGAAATTCTGCACAAATTTTCAAAAAAAGTCCAAATTCTGCAATCTTTTAAAACGATGAAAATTGACGTAGCAACGGAAACGGAAGTCAGCTACTTTCTAGGTAAGAACTGCGCGTCATTAGCGAACTCACTTTAGCGAATTTAAACGTGATAGAATGTTGAATTTCACGATGAAATCGTACTTGTACTCAATAATGATTGATTGTTGGACATAAACAGACACTCTTCAAATACCCCGCAAAGGTAGGAGATCGTAAAATATGTAATTTCTGGAAATTCTGGTAATTCTGCGGGATTTTCATGAAAATCAGGGATTCTGCAAAAAATTGAAGTTTTGTCAAATTCCGTCCACGCCGCGGAATTACGGAATACTAGTATCTATGACTATTCTATTCAAATTCTATCACTGTCAAATTGTATATCTGCTTTATATGGGCTTATTAGCCTTTTGCAGATTGTTGACATAGATAAAGAGAAAGGCAATGAACAAAATAACATGCTTCTTTTGTTTTTTTGTCAGTGAGGTTGAGGAAACATGTATCAGGCCTCCTAGACCATATGCTTCCACAAGGTTTGTGGTTTGCGATGTGGGAACTTTGCTCACGAGTAAAGAAATATGTTTGGGAATGCAGTCTGGCAAATAAGGATTTTTTCACTATAGCCAAATTTGTCCAGAGACATTTGAAACACTCTCGCCAAAATATTTTTCGTCTGGCCATAATTTTGTCTAGTCAGCATAAATTTTGCCCTCATCTTAAACTGTGCATGAATTGCGAATGGTAAATTAAACTGCTTAAAATAAGTGGAAAGGCCACACATGTCTGTTTCCTGATCAATGAAATTTCAGATTTGGGGTAGGCAGGTAGGTAGGTTGGAAAAATCTTACTCATAATTTTTTGAGGGTAAATTAGACAGAGCATACTGATCAAATGTCTATACTAGAGTTGTATGTACTAACAATATAGATAAAGAAAATTGTGTTATTAGGCTATACTGCTAGAGTATGAATGGCCCATGAATCATCAAAGAAGCTTTTTTTCAGAGTTTGGAGAGATCAATATTTTGAAAATGTAGCATCTTTTGAATTGAACCTCTTTAAAATGAACATCATGAACTTTTTTTTAGTCTAATGCGGATAAACAAATAAAGGAATCAAATGTGCAAGGAGTTCTAGACAGGTATCTGGTTGTTATAAATGAATTTTGACTTCAACAGTTTTTCGTAAGTTATAAAGATGGCAGTGCAATCAATACAAATACAATACCAAAATTGTTACCTCTGAGTAGGCTAACTTCCTGCCTGCTCACGGCAAAATTTAGATGATTTTCAGTGTTTTTTTCTAAATACTGATGATTATCTGGCTATTTTACTTCAAATTGTTCTTCTCTAAGGTAGGTGGCTTTATGTTCTTCTATTCTGATCATGTTTTAGGTAGAATAAAAAGCTTTGTGAATGGGAATAGGATCAACTATGAAACTTCATTTTTCAAGAATGTCGGGGATAAAAACTGTGAAGTTTAATAGATCTAACATCCATCGCCAAAATTGTCGAGATAGATCGCAACTTCTATCGCCAAATTTTTTTCACTCCCTGTTTTTGGCGTTTGGCGACCTCTTATTTGCCACACTGGAATGAGGAATTGGTGGTTCAGGACTAAAGAATCTATATTAGTATTGTGAGAAACAACAGTTCCGGGGGATAGGAACGTAGTTCGCAAGGTCGGAACTGATGATCACATTAGTGGAAATCTAGGAGGCCTGTGTATATGAATTCACATTCAATATGAAGAAATTTAAAACCAATCAGTGAGGTTTAGATCATTTGTTTGTTTAGCTGTTGATAGGGCAAACATGTCTGACATCACAGATGATGACAACTAAATCTCAAGATACCATATCAAGATCTCCCATCAAGTATTTTGATATCGTAAACTACCTGATGGGTGGCAACAAAGATCTCAAAAAACACAACTAACAAAACCAACCTTTTCAGATTCTGACTCAAATACCACATCCGCTACATTGACGATAATTATTGCACTGGGAAGATCTGTATTCTCCATTTCCACATCTCCATCATTTAAGGATACTCCATCCATTCGTTCTGATAGATCTGAATTAACATTGTTTTCCGAAGATGATGCCATAGCAGATAGTTAAGCCTGAACTGGAATGTCCTACAGTTGCCTAAATTTCTGAAAAATCTCACAAATTTCTTCAAAATTTTGACATCCGATCGTCACATCTTTGGAAGTGGTCACATATTTGTAAAATAGTTGGACTAAGTCCGTAGAAATATCAACAAAGATTTGAACACATTTTTCTTTGGATGTTCAAAATGTCAATTATTAACGTAATTAGAGATAATATTCGAGATTTCTCGTCGTTTTCTCATTCAGATGTGTTTACGTCATCAAAATGTGTGTGGTAGCAGTAAAAAGGCGAACAAAAAGTGTTCGCACTTTTATATATTACACAGTTTTGTTGTTCCCGATCATGGCGTAGAATAATGGAAATAGCGTCATGAATCCCGGGACAATGAATCTCGGATCCAAGTACGTCATTAATGGTCGAAAATCAAAATATTGACAAATTTATAACATAAAAGGCCGAAAGATTATGCGGCAAATATTGAAACGGGGGTTGTCAACATATTGTATTAGCTTTGATCTCTTCAGCCGGGCAGCAAGCCCCTCAAGTCCATTGTTAGCATTAAAATCCGTGACGTCACGATATATTAATCCGCTGACGTTCAACAAAAATTTTCTTCGTCAGAAATTTCTGAGATCTCTCATTTCGAAAATTGAATTGCTTGTAACGCGCAAAATGTATGATCATAATTCCTGAAATTACACAGAATCGTTGAGCTTAAGATACCTGATCTACGCTGCTAATATTGAAACAATCACGCATGTCTGTCGTGGCGAACAGAAGTTTGTCAGATTTTCAACTTTTTGTTGAAAACACCTTTTCAAGTCGCAATTACTAAGCAAAAACGTAAAATACATCATTGATTACTACCCTCGACGGAGCATATATATCTCTTCATATGTCCCTTGTATAAAGTAACTCATTCGATTAAATATAAGTTGAGAAAACAGACATGATCAAGTGGTTAAAAACGATCAGTCCAAACCTACCGCCATTAAAACTCTGAACTCAGTTTGACCTTTGCATGTTTTGACCGGACGGCATGACATCTATAGATGAAATCGAATTCTGAATGCATTCTATCTGTCAAGTTTTTAGACAAACTACACTCTCTCTCTCTGGCATTTACCGTCATTCACAATTCCTTTTCAAAGAACTGTTACTATACCAGGAGGATATCCGGCCGGGAGAAGATAACTGGCCGACCAGAAAGGGCTGTCTATTAGAGCCCCTTAGTCTATATAATGTCTATAGGAGTACATGGACTTCTATATACTGTACATAACATGTTGTTGTAGTTTATTACTGCCTAGGTCATTTTGACCTGTGGCTGACAAAGGCACTCACTGTACCTTTCAATTTAAAGTAGGGGGGTGCAATATTATATTTGAGGGGTCAGTCTCAAAATCATCTTTTTAATTAAAGGCCACCTAATAGGAATTTTATGTTGTTACTAATAAAACCCCATTCTAAAGGTGTACCATCAAAGGGTCTAGTGCACTCTCCTTTATGATTTTCCCATGAACAAAATGAATCATTTTAGGTGTAACATAAAGAATACAATGTCACATAATACTTTGGAAAATATTTAAGTATTTGGACCCACATGGGCTGAGGTTGAGGTCATTAAGTTCAGTAAGTGTGTATTGACATTGGATGTGCTCCATAGACTTAACATGTGGATACCATCAGATTCCAATGGAGATTCCAATGGAGGCCATTGGTTTCTATTGATTTTCACAAAAATACCTAAAATACACTATGACCTGAATTGATTGCAAATTAAATAATTTGACAGTATGACACAAATGGTATATCACATCAGATGTCCAAATATGAAGTTTGCAATCGATTCACGTCACACTTCAAATTAAAAGTTTATACATTTTTCATCATTTTTTTCCTACAAAATGGCTATAGAAAAATGCTTCAAAAGCAACTTATTACACTTATTAAACACCATACAACTTTGTAAATCAAAAGATTATACTGTTATGTTTCATTAATTAATAACATATTTGGATAAGATGTAGGGATGTGTACGATGCAAATGGATTTTGACAGACACAAAAATACTTCCTGGTTTGGAATCTATGCCTCTACACTTCCTCATGGGGAGATCATAATGGAGAATGCACTGCTTCCTTTCAGTGCGAACACCTGGGTGTTGTATTTTGGTTTGCATTTTGGTTTGGTATTAATTCCTGATTAAATTTTACTTATCATTTCATCTCCACTAAGAAAAATTATATTACAAAATGGTAAATAGGAAATGGAAATTCCATACAGTATGCTATTGCAATACCAGTAGATTTATTCTTTTTAAAAACTGAACATTATTTTCCATGCCTGTTTACAAGATTTCATTTCAATTTCTAGATAATTCCAAATTAAATTGTCAATGTAATTTATTTTTTATTTAACATACTAGTAAGCAGTAAGTTATAACAGGTGTTTAATACAATGTATTAGCTCCTGCACATCCATGGACCATGTTTGGTCCTTTGTCTATGCAGCTAGCTACATATTCCTTGGTTTAGTAAAACATGAAAATTGTAACTTGTTAATTTTTTTTTAAAAACCAGAGAAATATTGGTATTCATGACCTGCTGCCCGCTGATGGCTAATAAGAACCAAGTACAGTAGGGCAAGTTATTTTAAACAATCATATCTTTCAACATGAGTGAGTACTTTATGACCATAAATACAGTGGTTTCCATGTTTTCTTTTATTAAACAATAAGTTTTCTGTCAAGTAAAGTCCCCATGTTATTAAAAATACCAATCAACTCTCTGAAAAATTATGGATTACCACCCCACCCTCTCACTTTTTTAGTGTTAGGCTTATTTTCTAATAATTATCAAAATTAAATTTTCTAAAGTATAGGTATCGATATGGTGAAATGAATCAACAATGTTTTTTTCTTAAACCATTTACTGAAAACATTCTGTAAAAACACAGTTCTTTATGTAATGTTGACTGATTGACAACAATTTAATGCAAAAATATTGATATATTTATATAACTGTTTTGTCAACTTCATTTCATTCCGAACATATGATACCAAGAACAAAAGAAGTGTCTGATGTGTTTTCTAAAACAATATAGAGAAAAGTATATACATACATATTTTTCAAATTATAATGTTACCATCCAAAATAATGACCATTAAATTGATGATGCGTAATATTTTCAGAATTTTTTGATGACTGGTTTAAGAGAAATGTGTTCAAAAAGTTCACCATATCTTCTGAAAAGGGGATGGATATTGAAATGTGAGTAAGTTAAAAACCACATATTCAATGTTTTTTTCCCACAAGGAAAACTCATTCGATCCATTGTTTTCAGCATAATTCTGGTCATCAAAAATCTTCAAAACTAGACTTTCAATACCATTCTACATATGAAGAGGTTTAGAATAATCTTTTCATCCAATTAAAATAAAAAAGAAGATCCTCTTTGTGAGCAAATAGCCTCAATATTTTGAAAGAAATGTTGACATGGGGTTGCTATTCATAAATTTTTGAATTGTTCAATTGATATTTTTATTATCCTTGAGAATTTTCTTGAAAGATAACATATTGTGTTAGAGAAAAGTCATATCTAAATCGAGAAAGTACTCATGAGAATATGATTGTCTAAAATCACTTGCCATACTATACCTGGTCCTTTAATTATCTTATGCCCAGCTAATTTAAATATAATGGCGATTGCCAATATTCTATTCATATTTCAATGAATATTCTTATCATATTTCAATGAATATCTATTCATGTTTCAATGAGTTTACCATAAATATTTAGTGGATTACTCTATCTGCCAGTAATTGAATTTAGTCACTCCTTTCTGATTAAAAGACTTGAGAGACATCAGACTTTTTCTGTCTAAAATCACTTGCCATACTATACCTGGTCCTTTAATTATCTTATGCCCAGCTAATTTAAATATAATGGTGATTGCCAATATTCTATTCATATTTCAATGAATATTCTATTCATATTTCAATGAATATCTATTCATGTTTCAATGAGTTTACCATAAATATTTAGTGGATTACTCTATCTGCCAGTAATTGAATTTAGTCACTCCTTTCTGATTAAAAGACTTGAGAGACATCAGACTTTTTCAGTTTATGCCTTGACACTTTTAACTGTCAAAGAATAGTGTTAGTGTTTTTGGTCAATGAAAGACTCACCAAATTCTTGCTAAGTTGAATTTAAATGTATATTCCATCTTCAGTGTCCCCTCTCAACATTAATTGTTTCTCAATACATCTGGATATTTGTTGTCAACGATACTATTTACAGCTTCATTTTTCCAAAACTTATAACAGTATCCAGAATATTCTGAAGCAACAATAATCAGAACAGGGTATCTAGATTTGTATATTATGTGGATACATAATCCTATTTTCCTAGGTCAATTATAAATTAACCAATGTTGCTCTGCATTCCTCGAAATATGTCTCTCTTGATTGGGTCCAGTCAGCAAGTACCCCATAAGCCTGGAAATATATAGAAGAGAAATTTTATATCTACATTTTGACTACAAGGCTTTTTGAAATTATAAAAGCAGAAAAACATTGTCATCCTTAATCTATTTAATTGCACATTTTTTCAATCAATAAAGTTTTAAAAGATGTTAAAAGTTGAAACATACTAATCTAGTACATGCAATGTACTATGAGAAATTGAAATAAGGTTTTAATTATAATATAACCAAATGATAATTTGACAAGTATGATATTATACAAATATTTCGTACAGTTTCATTTAAGAATACTTGTTTATCTTTCAATGATTCTAGCAAAGTGTATTACCCAAAGCCTAAAGGGTCAGTGGAATACACTTTGCAGAATCATTGAAAGTGCAAAAAGTATCACTGATATTTATATAAGATTACGATAAACTGACAATGACATGACTTTTCATAGGCACATTGTCAACAATGATCTGAATTTCACTGTCATTCAGGCTCTAGCTATGTCATACATGTATGTGCTACGGAAATCGCCAGAGGAATCTTGATCGCTTGCACACAAATATTATTACCTGAATGTTGTATATTCTTGCTAATCCCAAAACCGATATCCAGCAGACAGACATACTCCCAACTTCTTAGACAGATATAAAGATGAAATACAATGCAGCACACAGTAATTTGACTGACAGATGTCCCAGAGCTCCATATTGTATAGAGATTCTTGTACTCAATCCAATGAGTAAGGACAGCAAAAAGATTATGATGTATAGCATCATGTCCCCTTATCCTCAGCGGT